GACAAAATAAAAATTTAAATGAGCTTGAGTATCAGAAGCATAGAACCGTTGACAAAATCAAAATACGATACCTGGTGCTTACAAGCACAGGCGATTCTCATAAGATACGATCTGTGGGAATACGCTAGTGGTGAAAAAACGTTAGCGGCAACTGCGACTGCTGAAGAAAAGAGTGCGTTCATAAGAGAAGACTTAAAGGGAAGGTCAGAGCTATTTTTACTTATATCTCCACCAGAACTCAAACAAATTAAAGGGTGTAATACATCCAAGGAGGTATGGGACAAACTAAAGTCTGTACATCAAATTTCAAGCCGGCAAGGAAGGCTACGCTATTAAAGCAACTAGTATTGAAGAAAATGACTCCACAAGATGTGAGAGACCATCTCAGTAATTTTATGGATGTAGTAGGTAAATTAGAAGACATGGATGTCAAAATACATCCAGAGTTATTAAGCATAATGATGTTGTACAGTTTACCTACAAATTTCGATAGCTTCCGAACGCCAACTGAGCCGAGAGATGTTCTGCCAAGTCCTCACAATTTAAAAATAAAAATCGTAGAAGAATACGAAGCAAGAAGGCACACCGAAGAGAGTGAACCTCAGACTTCAGAAGCATTCTACAAAAGGACGAAGAAAAAGGTACAATTTTGCAAGGGTTGCAATAAGAAAGGGCATTCCACAGAAGCTTGTTGGTGTCAAAGAAGAGACCCAATAAACCCAATAAAACTAAAGACTAAGGTCAAGAAAAGACATATAACATCTGTTTAACAGGAGGAACGTCGAAATGTAAAGGCAATTTATGGTGTCTTAACAGTGGCTGTACGTCACATATGACGAGTGATTAAAGTATACTTCATAACTTAATCCCCGCGTCTGACACTCTAAAGCTAGCTTCAGAAAAGCATACGACCGAAGTTAAAGGAAAAGAAAAAGCCGAACTTTATACAAAGGATCAACGCTATAAAATTAGTCGTTCTAACACATTATATGTACTTACCTGATTTGTCGAACAATCTAATTTCAATCTAATTTCTGCAAGCAAAATTACGGATCATGGCTATAAGGTTCTATTTGAAAAGGAACAAGCCAGTGTCTCAAAAGGCGGGAAAACTGTATTAAAAGCTAACAGAAGAAATGGATTATACTATCTTGAATTTGATAAACCGGAAGAGACACTAAACTTCACGCCTAGTGATGAAAGCAAAATTATGAAATGGCACAAGGAATTAGGTCACATCAGTGAAAGAGACCTAAAAGAAACGGTTAAAAATAAAATGATGCGAAGTATCGACTTTAAAGAAAAAACTTTGGGTACCTGTGAGACTTGTATTAAAGGAAAATTTTCTACTCTACCATTTCAAAGCCATGGACAAATAATCTCCACCGAAGTGCTCCAGATAATTCACAGTGACGTGTGTGGCCCATTTGAGAATGAATCAATGGCCGGATCAAAGTATTTCGTAACATTTATTGACGATTATACAAGATACTGTTGTGTATATTTTTTAAAAGAAAAGAGCGAAGTAATCGATAAATTCAAGGAATATAAAACCTACGTTGAACTGTTTCATAAGAATAAAATTAAAAATCTACAATCTGATAATGGAGGCGAATACAGGTCTAAAGCGTTTGACAAATTCCTCAAAGATAACGGTATAAGCCGAAGACTATCTGCACCTTATACTCCACAGCAAAATGGCATAGTGAAAGAAAAAAATCGGTCGCTGATGAATAAAGCCAGATGTCTGATGCTAGATGCCAATATCCCTATCACCATGAACGTGAGCGCGGCCTGGATGTGTAATGCGGCCGTTTGCGTGGTTTCAGCAAAACTTGACTCGTGGGATTTTTCGCGATGTTGCGAAGAAGACGCTGCTTAGTTAAACTTTTCTATGGGAACAGATATGTAACACACTGAAAAATAATAAAAATTTTTGTTTAATAAAATTTAATTGACTTTTATTAAAATTTAATTGAGTGTTTGTACTCGGTACCCTCAGGTAGGGTTACCATTAAGCAGGTCGGTCGTATAAAACCCAACCAAAACCACTTAAACATGATTCCCATGTTGTGCCGACCCCTCGTAGGTGGAATGAGGGCAGGAGGATAATGATGATGATGTTTAATAAAATGTAGATAACGTAAAACGGTCAATAATTAGGGGGTTAAACTGAAAGTTCTTAGAAAACCATAAAACAGCATGTAGAAAGTGGCCAATAGTTTTATTGTTGTTCGAACTAGTCTCCGTTCCTATCCATACATCATTGCATTCTATGGAACCATAAAGAAAAGCAGTGCGCCCATCTTTTTTAAGGGTCTTTTTCAACGCACTTTCAGGGGTCGTAAAGCGAATATCTTGAATTTTATCTTTAAAGGCCCATTTACACGATACCATTTTCTTGTACATACAAGAGCAATAATTGAATGCAATAAATTGCGCGCAATAATTGTTTAGACCATTTGTTGTTTAGACCATGCAGCTCATTTATTGCTTCAATTTAATTGTATACAACAGGCAAGAAACTGGCACCGTGTAAAAGGGCCTTAATTCTTGGGAATAAATGAAAGCCGCAGGTGGCCAGTTCGGGACTACATGGCGGATGACTCCATTATCTTCATACCTGCCATAGTCAAACATTTAATTACCGGTTCACGCAGTGTACTGTAGCGTTGTTGAGATGAAGGATAATCCTGCTTCGAGGACGCTGCTGTCTAACATTTCAAAAACAACAGGCAAACAACGGTTAGCATACCAGTCTGCAGTAAATGTCCTTCCATCTTCCAGCAAATCAGTCGCAAAATGACCTCTCTGACCAATGTACGAGGCAATCTTCTATTTTCCTCGACTTCTTTCTACTTTAGGTGTAACAAGACTAAGGATAAACGCCAATTCAGAAAAACAAATAACAAATTAATGCATTCTTAGATTATACTCTTGGCAGCTACCTTTTAATCAAAGAATGCATTATGAATGATATACCTATTATTATAATGATGATTGAATGCGATATACAATAGGTTGCCAAAGAGTTCCATATTCAAAAGTTGAAAGAAGTTTTTATTAGCAATGTTCCGAACCGTTAAAAAAATTTTCAGTTTTAACCTAGTATTCAGTAGTTGCTTCTGCTGCTGGATAAATGGAGCAGTTCAATCGCGAAAGCGACAGACCCTTTAGAATAGAGGCATAAAGAAGAGATCTGAAAGTTCATCTTCAATCTGGCGATGCGTGTTCTCAACACCAAGACTTGGGGCTGACAACACGCAGAGCGAATTGGTGGGAGCTCCATCTTCTGACCATCTTTTAACACCTTTTACACCATCTCTTACCATATTTTACAGATCGAGATAAACCTGATAATACATAACGATAGGTTGTTCCGCAGTATCAATGCCTCAACGCCTTGGCGCACAAGTTCCATTCTTTCCAATCTCAAGATCGACCTGACCTAACTTGAAACTACGGATTGGGGGCAGACGTCAGGCCGTTCGCTTAAACTTGCGCGGGTGCAGGGAACGTGTGTCCGCTCCGATAAACACCGCGTGCGCCCGCCTCCAGCAGCGTCGGCCGACGATCGTACAATTTTGATTTTTGACCTTTTAGCGTGTGCAGTTGTGTCACGAAGACTTCTAATAAGTAATCTAATTCAAAGTTTTATGATCTGCCCGTTCGTATCAACCTTTTTAAAGTTGAGGGAAAATTCTACATATACTTTTGTAGAATTTTCCCATATTGTTTTCAAAGTTAATAATCTCAAGACATGCTTCTCAGACCTGCAACCTTCGTATAATTCACTCGGCATGTCTCCCATAATACTGGGTGAGATTGCACCACAATTATAACGCGCTCAAATTAACAAATCTTACACAAATGACTTACAATAGATTGTTTGCTTATTTTTAAAATTGCCTGTCTCGTTGCAATGCGAACGCCGGCGATGCTTGTGATAGAAAATCCAGACTAACAAATGTTCGCTAAGATTCACCTGTCCAGTGGTAGGGCCACGCAACAGCTTATACCGTTTTCGAATGGGCAGGTTCATCTCTTCCGCGAGGCCGGCGTGAAGTACAAGTATTATTGTTATGCGTTTCGTCTGATAAGTAAAGTATCCAGGACCCATTCCTTCAGTGATTAGCAACGAGCCTGCAACCCGGCAATTGTTGTCCATTAGCGACGGTAATCACTTAACATCAAGTGCATCACCTCCTAGCTTGCCAACTTTTCATATAAAACAAAATATATAGTGAAATACTGTATTCAGTAACGGATATAGTTCATGAGAGCCACAATCGTCTGCTATCACCAAATGCTGAAAAACTTGTTATCATTTATTACAACTTACACTTATTGATTAAAAGATTTTTGTTAGAATCAATGAATTTTTAGCTTAGCGCATTTTTGCATAATGGGTAAACTGAATACTGAATAGTAATCAAATATTTGGGCCATTGCTACTTTTAACTCAATGTTATCTAATACCAAACTAAATTTTGCTTAGTTTGGGACTATATAAAAGATATCTTTGTGTAAATATTATGTGTCCAGAAACTTCACCTTTTATTGTTATTTTTTCACCACTTTAAGATCTATTACTGCATATTTTCATTTATAGAAACATTATAACAGGATTAACTGTATTTAAATTGTCCTTTATGTAAATCCATAGTATACCAAAGCTATGAATGAACTTATAAGCTAAAAAAAATAGAGCACCAGCATACAACCGTTCCATGGAGTTATATTCCATAAGTATTTTTGACTTAATTTTTTAAGCCATTTTCCACAAGAGCACATTCCGCCAGTAGGTTGAGTTAAGTTAAATTTTTAGCTGAAATTATTTATTTTATAGGCGATGTATGGAACGAAAATTGAGTCTTGAAACTTTTCACAACAATGAATATCATGTAACACTAGAGAGAACTCCATTTATTCATAAAATTAATACATCTGCAGACCCAAATTCACTCTTTTCCACTGCAAACTTCAGATCAAGGTTGTCACTCTCTATGCACAAGTACATATATTGCCAAACATCCCAACACAGCAAACTGAAATTAAAATCACAGGTTAATAATGTAATAGCAAAAATATTAGGAATAATTTTCATTTTGTTCGTTCAGATGAAACTTTAAATTGTGAATGACTAAAAACCTTTGGTGCTGATTGTGATTTGAAGATGCTTCTAGGAGTTTCATGCCCTTATACTTTACCAACCAATTTTTTACACAGCATTCACTAGTCCCAGTATGCCATCATATTAAAAATACAGAATAAGTAGCTTGAGTTTATATGTTTATTTAAGATCTTTACTAATGAACATTTATAATAATCATCAGCTACAGTCAGTTGCTAAGTCAACACTATCTTTTGTGTATCAATTATTTTTAATAGACTGTATCAGCTATGTCTTAAATCATTGTTAATAGACCAAAGGAGTATCAGTTTATCCTTAATTATATTACAAATCATACCGTAGTAGCTAATAAAGATTATTCAAATATTTACCTTAAACTTAGGATATTCATTCATGTAAATTGTAACCATTCCAACATAAGGCAGAAACCCTCTAGCACGCCCAACTACATCTTTTTTTGTTAACCATAACTGGCCCTGGGCATATAGTCCTCTATCATCTACACTATTGTTGTCTCCTTTAGTAAGAAATTTAACAGTTCCGTTATTCCTGTAAACAATAAAAACTTTTTCAAATGTCAAAAATTAAAAAAGTTGATATCTAAAAATTTGTAAATGTTTCGGTATTGCTTTATTATAAGGCGTAGCACTCGTAAGGTGGAATGAGATGGCGGGGTGAGGAGGGGGATGGTTAATCCCCCTATAAAAGGGGGGGAGTGTAGAAATGTATATAGTTTCTGAAATAAATTAAAAAACCTATCCTAACCTATGCAATGTTACTATGATGGTATTTATTTTAAATTAGGCAGTGGGGGGAGGGAGGCCTTAGCTAGTGGGGCTTATTACCATAAATACTTAAACATAATTTTTCAGTCTGGACTAACACATGTTTAAAGGAGATATAACCATTGTCTCTTTCTAATGCTTTAGAATGTATTAATATGTATATCTCTTGAGCCAAAAGCCAAAACAATACTGTTCTATACGATTCATAAAAATTCATTTCTCGAAAACTAGTTTCCACAGGAAATCCTACTAGTATTTACTTCAATGGCCTATTACTTACCTATTAGAATTAAAATTATAAGGAAAATTGTGCTACCGTACGCTAAACGATTCTGCGGTATATTAAATCTTAAAATATTAAGTTTTTGTAACATTGTAATTCCTAATAATAATAGTGCAGTTAACCTATAAAAGCTTACTTTTCATGAAGCTTTAACACTCTATGTACAATAGGAATATCTCTTCCCTCGACTTTGAAGACAACAATCTCCCCAACACGTACAGGTTCCTCGGGATAGTTTGTTAAAAACAAAAGATCGCCCCTATGAAATGCTGGTTCCATGCTCCCAGATAAAACAACCACGATAGGGCTCTCACTGCCAGTGACCACCATTAAACCCTTCCATATCATAAGGGCCGACGACACTATCATACCAAAACTGAGTACTTGGTAAATAAACTGAAAAATAAAATAATGTTAGAAATCCGGTAGTGGGCACGTCATCTAAGCATTATTGTATAAAAATATACCTGTCGCTTGTTCATGCGCTTCACATCATCAAATAGACTGTCAAGCATTTTGGATTTGTTTTGATTACACGTAAAAATAAACTAATATAAATTTTTTCTAGATACTACTTTTAGCATTTAAGTCCAGTTTGTGACAACGAAGATGATAGATTTTAGCACCACGTCAGATCCAAACGTCAAAATATCACGATCACGTTGTTTTTGGTCTGTGCTAACGGTGACGAGGACGACGACGACGACAAAAAGTGTTAAGTGTTACCTTTATAAATATATGTATTGTTGTAATATATGAATAAGATTCTCATTCTTTTTTTTAGAAAAGAATTTTAGTTTACTATCAGCCTAGCGGCGTTGACAGATTCTTCGATTCGAGGTTCCCTCAGACGGAGCTTAGAAACTTTTAGGTCCTCTAGATAAGTAACAATAGATAGCGGTCCAAGCAGACTGGAAAGTTCATTCAAGAGGCGCTTGGAACGTGTTATGCCTTTTATGTTAATTGAATTGTCTGTTTTGGTAAAACACCTGTATTTTACCAAAACATAGCAGCTGAGATGCAGCATTGTGGCCGGCGTAATGATGTAGTCGTGCACCAAATACATTGTTTCTTCAATCGCGGAGACCGCGGTTCGTTCACCCGTGAACTTCTTCGAATGAAGTTGTATAAGCCGCCTGGATAACACAAAAAAATAAAAGAAGTGACAAATCTCGTGATGCATAATTAGGTTTACGCAGCTCTAAGCGCCCTCATATTGTTTGAAGCACTGAATGCAATAATTGTTTTGTTAATAAGTATTATAAAACTACAATTTATGCTGTGTGGTGCATACGGGTGTAGAGGCATTTAATTTATTCTTGGTAGTGGTGAGAGTACATGAAATTATTTGTTTGGGGACTACATTAGTCCCCCATTTTTTTTTTTTTTGGCTGTATGAGCCACTGTTGGCCTTAGGGGCCTTTACAGATCCGACGGACTTGAGGGGGCCTGGCGCTCGAGGCGCCTAGCCTGAACCTCGCGTATTATTATTACGCGTTATGGTGACTAAGCTCGAGGGCTCCCGAGGGAACCTCGGCTCGGGCCGTCACGCTATTATTATCACCAGTTTGGGAGGCCGCCAAGCTCTTAGGGCGCTTTGGCGGACGCTCCATGGAGTGACCAGGCTCAAGGGTCCCCGAGAGGGGACCTCGGTTTGGGCTGTCACTCAGCACGCGTTTAGCATTCCGATTCGAGGGTGCCCGAGAGGGCCGGACCTCGGCTCGATCGGTAGCTGTTAACTGACTGGGGGGATCTCTAGAGCTATCGTTACTACCACTTCGTAAAGCGTTGGCGCTGGGAGAAGAAGTGGCGGAAGAAACTCCAGCAACGCTTCTATCATTAACTGGGGAGAACCTGCCAGGTACGTGGCGGAACCTAGTATATGTTTGCCGCACTCGCCGGCGAGTGCGGTGTGTGTTGGTGTGTTTTCGTAGTTTTTTAATCCTTTCGATGGAGATAGTCGTCTCATCGTCAGGGAAATCGAGAACGTGTCGCGGTCTACGGTGATTGCGGCGGAACGTACCTAGCGGCATGGGTCTGTAGGTGGCGGCACCTACGATTAGCGGATTGGGATGCGCGGCGGCGGAATCGAAATATCGGCGTGACGCTGACTTCAGGAATTGAGCGATGGTGGGCAACTCTAAATCGACATGTAGGTCGATGTTGCGCATGAACCAGGGTGCTCCCGTGGCTCTGCGCAAGAATCGATTTTTGATGACCTGAAGCCGGTGTATTTGCTTCGGAGCAATGTGCGCGAAAACCGGACTCGCGTACGTCATAATGGGGCGAACTACTGCCTTATATAAGGTCACCTTGTTCCGAAGGGACATCTTTGACGTTTTGTTGAGGAGCGGATGGAGGCGACCGAGTACGAAGGCCACCCGGTTCTTGACCCGAGTCACGTGCTGGCTGAGTTTAAGTTGGAAGTCGAGGACTTATTTCGGGTAGTTTTTTTGCCTGTGATCCTCCATTTCCGAAACCAGTCACCGATGGTATAGAGACAGGTCGGCAGGTATCGTCGGCAAAGAGGGCAAATTCTACATCCTTGACACGCGGCATGTCATTGGTGTAGAGAGTGAACAAGACTGGACCCAACACCGACCCTTGGGGCACAATTGCGTAGTCGAACACACGCCCTCGACGCGATAGCGAAATACTCAAGAAGTCTCGTATTATGCATACGAGACGGTCGGGCACTGCATACCCGTATAACTTGTATACGAGCCCGTTGCGCCAAACTTTATCGAAGGCCCTTGCTACATCTAGGAAGAGTGCTCCGGTGTTGAGTCCTCGTTGGCGTTTGGCTAGAATGTGCTCCGTGATGCGGTGCACTTGATGGGTACACGAGTGTTTGGGTCTAAATCCAAACTGCTCCATTCAATCATCCAATCTGGGATGGGGAGGCCTTTAGTGTCCATAAGGGATTTTAGGCGGGTTAATAATAGTCTTTCAAAGATCTTCCTAAAAGTTTTGAGAAGACTTATTGGACGATATGAGGTTGGGAGAGTGGCTGGTTTGGAGGGTTTGAGGAACCCTATGACGTCAGCTTCCTTCGATGCGGATGGGAAGAAGCCTTCGGTTAAAGCCGCGTTGTAAATTATTACTAGTATCTGAAGGATGCTAGTAGGGAGGAGTTTGGTCACCTTATTGGTGATGCCATCTGAGCCAGGCGCTTTGCATGGGCGTAGTTTTTTAATGGTTTCTGCAAGTTCTGAGCACGTGACCGGGAGAACGGGATCGCGAAGTGTTCGGGGCTGACCGGAAGCAAACTAGGGGAGCATTGAGACTCTAGGCTGTCAGCTAGGCATTCGGCTTTCTCTTCGTCCAGCATTGCTGGCGTTCCTATCGGGCGGAGTAGTCCCCCATCACCAAAGAGTACTTTTATATATCTGAAATCACCTGAATATACTAATTTGAGCCGGAAAGTAACTTTTCAACACCCTCTAAAAAGCTAGACCGTAGGGTTGCGTAAGCAGCGGCAGTACTGCATTGACCGTTTTATGTACTTTATTAAAACACTATGGACATGAGTTTTCCGGCGGATGAAGTGACTAAACTTCTTTGGTGGGTCTGCTCCTTTTTTATGGCACTGCATAGACTCTTTCTTGCTCTCTGTATCATAATGATGAATCCACATTTCATCATCGGTATAGATCAAAAAGACAATTTCAACACTCAACTCACGCTTGTTTCTGAAACGCCGTGTGCATTCGCGTCGCCCATTTTGTACTGACATAGTGTGAATGGTACCGTACCACCCTAACACAAAATCAAAATCTCAAATATTTAATCTATCTATCGCATGTCGCATTACAGCCGGCCTCGTGTAAAGTAAATACATTATTATTTTTAAGGGTGAATACATTGAACGCCCTTCGTATGTTATTGTTTAAGATCAATATTCAGAGTTTGCAATTTGAGCTGCATCATAATAATAGAGAAAATCATGTACATATTTTACATTGGAAGGGTGCCGTTGCTATTGGCTTCGACGTCGTGAGTTGTGGGTTCGATCCCACACGGAACAAGGATTTTTTGACCCACCGATAATTATTACACTATTTAATGAGTATAAGAATAGATACAACAAAATTTGTAGAAAATAAATGAAAATCAATACATTATTATAAAATAAATGAATATTTCCATTTTATCAATTAATTGTGTATGACAGAATACCTTACATAAATATTCGTTATAATGCCTACCATCTTATATACCTATTTGGTATTTGTCAAACATATTGAGAGTGGCCGAATAGGCGGTATACTAAATAGTAGCCAAAATTTGTTGTCTGTCTTAATGAAATTCATATATTTTACACAGGTAATCTTACTCCTTTTATATTATTCTTGCTATTTTTTTTATTTTGTGTTTAGTATGTATTTTGAAAGACAATAATCTATTTTTTTTTTAATTATTCACATGTTTGGGAATGCAGAAAATGAAAATAAAAATCTATGACATGTATGTAATGCATTTTACAAAACCACATTAAAACCTATGCAAGAATTGAAGCTGGCTTACGGCTTTTTTCAATATTCGATCTATCTGTAGATTTAGTTGATAGCGATAAGTGCCTATTTGAAATTAGCTCCGTAATTATTATCTTGACATTTCAACATCTATGTTATCAGAAAATTTTAATTTTATTGAAATTGTATTTGGTGTTGTAACATCAGCAACAAGAATTTCCCCTCCATTGTAGAGTCCCAATTCAGTAATTTTTTTCTTTAAATTATCTCTTGTCCTCTCCTCTATGCTCTTGATCGAAGGCATATACAAAGTCTTGTTACGACCATTTATGACAGTAGTAATACCTTAAAACAAAATTATCCAATGTTTTATAATCAAGACAATAATTATAATATGGTATATGGTGATTATAATAACAAATGGATATAAACAATATCATAATGATTTGTACAGGGCAAAACCTTTATTCTATTTATATTAATATTCATTTAGTAAAACAACTACAATTTTATTATTTATAAGATCTATGAGTTAGTATAGTGGTACAATAATCAATCATACCTGCGATGTTGTCATACATAAACTTTTAGTTTTTAATTATTTTATATATTTAATTATGTTAAGAATAATATATTAATTTAATTTTTTAAAGCAGTAAATATAATATTTTAAAACTATATTAAATAACTAACCTGGACTTTTCATCAAGAAAGCAGGATCTTCCTTCAGTTTCTCATAAATGTCCATCAAAACTGCATCTGGCTTAATATCCAGTACACGAGTTGTGTTACTACAAGCTACACAATCTGGTTTTCTTTCTGCATTGAATGTATATGTGTATACACCATCGGCCATATTGAGTACCATGTAATTGTTCATGTTAGTGCAGCAGGATGAAGCTAGCTTGAATACCTTCAAAAAAATTATAAAAGTATTATAAATATTTACCAGAACTTTTGGAGAAAATTAGTGGCAAAATCGAAGTTGATGAAAAGAATAGTATTTCAAATTAAGAAATAAACATAAGTATGCTATACTTGTCAGTATGTTTTGTTTAATCTATTTTTTTGTAATTTTTAATCTATTTTTTGTTTAATGATTTGCTTGTTCACTTACATATATGATCATTTAGCAAAACTACTGAACCAATAATCAATTAAACTTACAGAGAATATTAAGTCTATTGGTTTATTTGGCTATTTTCTACAAATTAAATAAATATTTTTATCCTGTTCAGCTTTATACCGAATATCTAGGTAGAGTTGCTACTTGATTGAATGCCAAATTCCTAAGTAATAATTTTTGTTGTCATTAAATTTAAATAAATTTGTTTTATTTTTTACTCTTTCCTAAAAGGCCGGCAACACATTTGTAAGCCCTCTGATGTTGCAGACACCTGCATTGGCTGCGGAGATCACTTACCATTCCTGACTTCTGCTCCTTTGTTGCTTTTTCCCATAAAAAAAAACATTGGTAATTTATTTGAAACATGAATAATGTATTTTTCGTTTAATCTACAAAATAATATAGGTATCTTACAAAGTTTCTTAGTTCTTTTCAGTGTTAGTTTCGTAGGTTGCATTTGTTATTCCTATTTTATAATTTAAATTTATTTTACAATAAATGCAATAAAACTATTATATATACATTAGATATATATATATATAATAGTTTTAATCTGGTTGTTATCTATAAGAAAACTGACACAATTTGTTAATTACAAGTATAGGCTAAGTTATTATCTACATATAACTACATACCTCTGTCACACATGTTGCAGCTATTGCTGCATTTGTACTTGCTACAGCCGGAATAATATTTTTCAAAACACCTTGAGTTAGCCTGTATGTAACAGATGTAATCCCATGCTTCATAGCTCTCTCTTGTGCTTTTTCAAAAACCCATGCTACATGCTGAGGATCATCACCATCCAGTATTGTTGCACCACCCCAAGGATTCTCTTTAGGCCATTGGATAACTTTTACATACTCAATGCAATGTTCTGGCAGTCTAAAAGCCACATGTTTACACAATTAGAAGCTATATTATTTAAAAGTATTGAAAAATATATATGAAATAGAAGCAACTACAACAAACCTTGGTGTATTAGCAATTGTACACAATGGAAAAGTTTTTTGAGGAGGATATAGATCAAGTGTGCACTCAATGCAAGCACTCATACCGGGCAAAATAACTCTTGCATTGCCTTTAAACCCCTCTGTTCCACCATCTACTAAAGGAATGACACTACTTTGATCTAAGCTTCCTGGAAATAGCAAGCAAAAAGTTATTAATTATGGTAATGTGCCCCTACAAAAATCAGGTATTCGATTGTTGCTTAAGTGATATATAATATAACCATAATAAACAATATATTACTATCATCATTGTATTGCAGTAAGGTCATAAGCATGCCATTTAGCCATCTCCTAGCAACAATAGAATCAAGTCCACAAACAATAATGTGGAATTGGCGATAAAATCCTTCATCAAGATCTTGAATAGCACAATGATGTGCAACAGCCTCACAACCGGGGACCCTAGAAATATGAAATGAATATATATTTGTTCTTAGAAAAAAAACCACTTAATTTTTTAAGTCTTACCTTTTATTTACAAACTCAACAGCACATTTAGCTTTTGATAAACCTATATCAGATTTTCTAAAAAGAAATTGCCTGTTTAAATTTGATAACTCAATGGTATCCATATCTACTATGTGAATTTTCTTAAAACCCATTAAAGCTAAACCTTTCAATAATTCACAGCCAAGTCCCCCTGCCCCTACTACCAAAATTTTGCATGAATCCATCAGAAAATCTAATATTTCAGGGGAGGGCTCAAAATCAGGATGACAAAACGGGCCTGATCTTTCGAGTACTTTTCGTATGTTATGCCACCTTCTTTGCTGTTCAGGCATTTGAGTTTCACTTGCAGCCATGATATTTATTGTGGTAAAAATCTGAAGTAAAAAATTGCCGGCACTAACCGATCATGAAACCTACTGTAAATGTAACTATAACATTTAGTTCAGAAATATGTTTAGTGCTTTTCATTTAAAAGTATCAATTTGCGACAACCCCCTTTATTCCTTTCTTTTTAAATTAATACAAAGCTTCTTCTAAGACATTTGGTTAATACAAAAAATTAAATTCTTCTTCTTCTTTTTATTAATGGCTTGCTTTGTGAGTTATCACAATTACGCCAATGTCAAGTTGTTCTTAAAATTCTCAATTTTATAATATTCACATTAAAATTGTAATAGGCAAATAAAAACTTCAAAAATCTATCAAAAAAATCCTCACATAGGGCTATCAGTAAGAGAACACGATATATCACAAATTAAATTAATATAAACAATAACTTGACAAGCACAATTGACTGACACAGCACAGAATGAATATAATGAAGTATCTCTATTTGGAAGGATCAATCAAATTAATGATATTTATTTGATGGCAAATCAAATCAAGAAGGAGAATGAAATCAAACAGTGAATGAATCAGAACAAAAATGAATCAGTGTATTATAATTATCTGAATTCTGAAATATATCTGATCTGAAATGAAAAATAGGTATTGCCAACTTTTATTCTGCGAAATTGAATTATTACATATTTGAATTGAATTATTACATAATTATTAAGAATTACATAATTGAATTATTACATATTAATATTTAAAAAAAAACAGTTTAGGATACATTTTTACTTAGGATGGAACTTTAAATCTTAAACTTTTATAGATAAATTAACAACTTTCGGTGATGCAGGATTCGAACCTCGTCTTCTGGTTTCGTGCACCGTCTGTGCGCGAAACCAAAATAACTAAGCGGTCGATGATGTCACGAATATCTCGACAAATGTTTACGTTCTATCTATTACATTGTTAGAAGTTTTTACAAAAAATAAAATATGCTATAATATTGCCCACTTCGATTGTAAGGAAAACAAAAATGTTAAGAATCATTTCTTATCATTTATTACCCTACCAATAAAAAAAAAATTTTTAGTTTTTTAACCAACTTCAAATACGGAAGAGGTTTCTCAATTCGACCGTAGTACCGAATTCGTATATATTTTTATTTCTTTTTATGTGTGTTTGCGGATAACTTTTTCGTATATGAACCGATTTTGATGATTCTTTTTTTATCGGAAAGTAGATATCCCAAGGGTGGTACCATGATAAGGAAATCAGGATCTGATGAAGTCATCCCAGAGAAATTAAGGGCCATCATTGAATGTTATAAGTATTAACAATGTTTTAATTGAAGTCGGTTTTTTCTTTGTTAAAAATTATTAGCCATAGTTACCAGCTCAGTACTAAATTAAATTCCACGTTCAGAGGTTAAATTACAAAGATGACAACACTAACAAATATACCAATAAATAGGTCAAATCTTGTATTGTGTTGCACTATACTCATATTTTATTATTTGCAAAATTATCTTTTGATAATTCTTTTGTTAATTAGGAGCGTCATAAAAATACGCATAATTTTCACAATTTAAATATGTAAATCTTAATAGTTGTTTTATAAACAGATTTCAACAGATAAATAATATCTTGCTGCAATATACATGGCTGTTTATTGTACATTCATTTGTTAAATATGGAGGTGTGATGGAGGTGCATTTGTCGAAATACTGTGATTTTCAAGTTTGCAGTTTTTACGATTTTCTAGTATGTATAATAATTTAAGTTGTTGCAACGTTTTCTTTATATATTAAAACATATTGTCCGTATATTAATATCACGCCAGAGTATACGTTATCTTTAATATTTGAGGGAGAGACTAGCAGGCTTAGAGTACCTTGGTAGGCACTACTCGGACCGAACCATGCTTGATTGAAACAATACTTTTTGGCTAATTTCCTTTGATTAATAATTATGTTTGAAGCTAAGAGTTTTAGTTAATATTCCTATTTTTATATCTTTTAATAAGCAAGACGTAGGTTTTCAAAGACAAGTTATCTTACTTCATTCAGAATGATACAGAACCACGGAAGAGAACCGTATTGATAGTAATATATACGCGTATATTTTTTTCATAATAGTTTTGTGAAAAGGGGTTATATGTAACGAAATTTGTGTAAATGTATTTGTTATTTGCTTGTTTACTGATACAGATTATGTTTCTAGTGTTACATCATTGTATACTAAATATAGGAAATTAATGACCTTATGTTATTTACTTTAAACTTTAATCTTCTAGATGACAGGATGGCTGGTAATAGAATCAATACTAAAGCAAAAGGGAAGGAAGACAAGTCAAAATCAAATAAAGGTGCTAATCAAACTAATGAAGAAACAGAAGACTTAGATTATACTCTACTTAGAAAACCTGTGTTAACTAGTGTAACAGGTTTTGCTCAGGCAAGAAAAATTTTTGATTTTGCCACTGAAGAAGTAAGTACTTTGTGACTTTTTCATGTAAATAAATAAATTTCGGTTCAATTATAAAATAAATCTTATTCTTTCACAGCTCAAAAGTCTGCTATCCACTGAATGTGATCTTTTATATGAATGTAAAGTGTGCCGGAATTTATTCAGAAGTTTAGCTAATTTTATATCCCATAAGCGTATATACTGTAAAGAAAAGTTCAACTCTTCCATGCATAGTCATTTTATAAAACCAATATCAACTGTAAGTTTGTTGTTTCATTTTGTAATTATTTTATATTGATTATTTTTTTTACAGTTGTTGTTACATATGTTTGGTAATAATTATAATATGTTGATTTTTAGGCAAGTGAAATATTCAAAATAAAGCGTGCGGAACAGGAATATCAAGAATCATTAAAAATAAAAAATGAATCGGAATGTATTGATGCAGATGAAACAGAAGACCGTATACCACTTACAAAAGACTTAACAGCTATAGTGGAAAAGTTTGCATTAAATAAAGGCAATCATGACAGTTTTAATGAAGAACATGAATTATATTTGCAAAAAATTCCAAAAACTTCTGTTGCCATGTTCCAAAATGTGCACTTCAATAAGGACACACAATGTGATATTCTTTCTCAAGTATGTAATGTCATTATTTTCTTATACTGTGTAAAACTATGAGCCATGAATTTTTCATATATAGTTGATACATAAATACTATATATTTTACTATTCTTATTATTATTACTAATGATCAGATAGTTTATCATGATAAAAAATATTTAATGTTTAACAAATATAGATAGATAGTCACACAAAATGTGCCATAATATTCTTCAAAAAAATGTAAAATAAAAATTAATGTGTGAAGTGAGATATATTAATAAACTTTTAGAATCACCCACACTAAAATGTAGCTTATGCTAGTGGGGATTTCACCTACGACAAACGTAATATGGTGACAATAAGTGGCGCAAACATCATTTGCCACTTCTTGCACGACACTTCGCCTTCTATTGATGGCGAATTAAGCACGATCGGCGGTGTTATTAAACGTCACCTAAGATCCAAATCTAATCGACTTGTTTTTATCGTAGCAACGTAAGATCTGTTAAGAATTTACTAAGAATTTTCAAATACTTTAAAGGTTAGAGAGCTGGACACGATACTTTCTCAGAATAAGGCCGTTTTACAAAGTGACGGTAAATTTACGATACAAAACTCTATTGGAACGAAGAAATCAAATGCGGAACACGAGAACGTTATACAAATAAGCGATGACGATGACAATGAAAGCAACAACATACTTAAATGTAAAATTTGTAAGTACCTACTCTAAGCGGTTTTAAACGTAAAAAATTGCGTGTTGAAATCATAGCAACTTTAGCAATTAATCTTTTAATTATCAATAGGGTTTTAGATTTTTTTTATCGAGTCGGCGCATTACAGTGCAGTAATACATCGAAGTTGCATTTCGGTTTAAGTTATAGTCTAGTTTAGTTTTATCTAGAGACTAGAGAAAAATTGTAATTTTACTTTAATTAAAACTGATCACATGGGCTGGCTCGATTAGCGTGAAGCAGAAGCATTTTAGCTTGTTGAATACGGGAACCTGAAGACCCTCTTGATTAGACCATCTCATTGTTGTTGTTTTCCATAGACCTCGGCGGTATAATAATCTGATGAACTATTGCTCTTGCCGTCTTTTCTTAAAAATCCAGGGAAAAGAACGTACGATTCGAAGCCAAAACCCTTACAAGAAATTGATATATCGATACAAGAATAAACAAAATTTTGTAAAGACAATTAGTAAAATGAAACGTCACTACATAGTATAAAACAAAGTAATCTCGCTGTATGTCCGTCCCTATGTATGCTTAGATCTTTAAAACTACGCAACGGAACTTGATGTGATTTGTTTTACTAGTTAGAGTGATTCAAGAGGAAAGTATATATGTATAATATTGCGACGGGTCGTGTGACAATGTACGGAATTAAATATATTTTTCCGAAGAAAATTTCATCACGTGAAAGTACATAATACTTTTTCCAGGTGATCTACAATTTTCAACACAAAAAACCTTGAAGTTTCATATGAAGTACAAACACCTAGAGAGTCGTTTGGTCTATCCCTGCCCTGACTGCTTGGAGATATTTTCTACCTCATGGAGTGTCTACAGGCATCTGTTCAAAGTGCATCGGTAGGTAATTATAAAAACGTAACAATTATAACAAAAATTAAGTATAACATGAAGTGTTATTTACATAATTTGTCAATTGATTTTACAGAAAAACAGCCGCCCAAATAAGAAGACTGAGGGAGTCTATACAAGCGAAAGCGTTTAGGATGAACAACCCGCCAGCCTTTTACGAGAAACGTAAAAATAATGTCAAAGCGGCCACTCCGGTAAAGATCACTGAAGAAGAGAGACTGGATCAAGAGAACCAGGTATATAAACACACTACCGACCCGCCCCGGCATTACACGGGTGCAATGTATTATACATATAAACCTTCCTCTTGAATCACTCTATCTAGTAAAAAAATATCGCATCAAGATCCGTTGCGGAGTTTTAAAGATCTAAGCAGATATAGGGACAGACATAGTGACAATAAACTGTAAATTTTATCCATTTTCGAAATGTTCTGTCTCTTGTCGTGAGTTCGGTCTCTTGTCGATCGCTATAAATTTAGTGTTCTGGAGCGGCCAGAGTTGAAATCTCGGAGCCGACAATGAAATGGTTAATTGCAAAATTGCTTAACACATATTATTCGTATCTAATAATTTAGAATGTCGTGACACATTGAATAATAATTCACAAGTGTCGCATTATGATAGTATGTTATTCGTTCCACGTCTTGATGGTTGATTCGGAAGGTTTTACGGCGGACCTCACAGACCAGCGTGAAGTGAAGTACTTCTGCGTTTCGACTGGTGAGTGAGGCAGCCGGGGCCGACATTATTAAAAGGTGGCAACACATTTGCAACCGGTGTAGCGAATGCCCCTGAGCGGCGGTTATCACTTAACATCAGGTGAACCGCCAGCTCGTTCGCCACTTTCTCACATTAAAAAAAAACTTAGAGTTGGCTGTACGTTACAGGCGTGGATGGACAACATGGAGGGGGACGGGGAGATCCCGCGGTGCGGCGGATGCGGGCGCACATTCGAACGGCGCGCCGCCCTCGCCGCGCACACGCACACGTGCCAGCCGCGCTCCAGGGCGCTGGCCCGCCGCGCCGACACCAAGAAGATCGAGATACAGATACGCAAGGACTACAACAAGGGGCCGCCCGCCGTGCCGATGCCCGTGAAGACGACGGACGCCAACGGTAAGGCCACTCGCTGACCGCGGGCCAAGAACTTTTTTTTTTTTACGTAAGAAGATGGCATGCGAGCTGCCGATTCGCCTGATGTCAAGCGATAACCTGACTTACAGTTTTACATTTATATTTATAATAAAATTTTAAATAGAAAAAAAATTAGTAATCTTTTAAAACTTAACATTGATTTGACTTCTCTGACATCATTTGGTTGCTTATTTTAATTAGGTACATATTGAGACATACGCACTTAATTTTGTTATAATTTTATGTTGTAAAATTAACATCAGTATGCATTATTATGTTCTCAATGTTTCGAAATAAAATATAAGTTTAGGTAATATGTTTGAGGAAATATTAATTTGTTCAGTTTTCTTATAAACATCGGTATTCAGAGTTATAAAGTCGTAGTTAAATATATCTTAACCAATTTATGGCGATTGCATTGCTTCTAAATTTCATTTTGTTCTGTGCCCCACACTTCAATAATATATTCATGGGCAGTTTGAGGAACGAGTTTAAGATTGTGTAACGCACTCTCATTGGTAGGAAATATCATGCAGTTATCTAATATATCTCAGTTCTTGTTGAACCAGTCACGTTCATTCAGCCATGTTCCACGAATGGGCGGGTCCATCCGGAGAAGTACTAAGACCTCACACTAGGCCGGCGTGAAACGGAAGTGTTATATTTCTGCGTTTCGCCTAGTGGGTGTGGTACTTGGGGCCCACTTTATTAAGAGGTAGCAACGCGTCTGCAACCTTACGGCTTGCAAATGACTATGGGTGGCGGTTATCACTTAACATAACCGTCATCGGTTGCTATCTTCTCACATGAAAAAAAATCGCTGTAAAAATATGGACGAAAATAGGGTTTTACCATTGTCTGGGTGCTTTTATATTATGATAGGTGTTTATTTACAAAAACAGTATGATTAACTATTTTTATCAGTTATCCCAGTAATAGTCAATGTTTTGTAAATGTTACCTGAAATATTTATTATAACTTATTAGCTGTCCCGGCAAACGTTGCTTTGCCAAATAAATTATTTGTAGGGTAGAAAAAAATGTTTGTGGATAAAAATAGATGTTGTCCGATTCTCCACCCTGGCCGATATGCACACAAAATTTCACGAAAATCGGTAGAGCCATTTCGGAGGAATTCAATTACAAACACCGTGACACGAGAATATTAAATATTAGATTTAGGAAATTGCCACATTTTTGCCAAATTATAATCTGAATCCATTATTAATAATTAAATAAGTATTTGCTTTTAGCTTTCTTCATCATAAGTTAAGAGTATTAGATTGTTTAAGCGTACATTCGTTTATTTTATAGTAAGCTCTATCTCACTACTATCATTTCATCGTTTCAATGCACCCACGACGCTCTTTTTTTAAAGTTATTTTTGTTGGGAAAGTATGACTAAAATGGATGTATCCGTCTTTTTTACTCGAAGGAGTAAAGAGCTTATGGAAACAATCACTGCGATTAGCTCGACAGCATAAAGTCGCTTAAAGGGAGCAAACACTAGCTTTATGTAAATTCCAGCTTAGCAATTTGTTGCCATATGGATCTCTTCTGATTACTTAAGTAGAAATCTTGTGAAAGTTGAAAAATAACACATAGGAGTACATACCGTCATCAGTTTAATCCTTGTGCCTCTAACCGCAAACACAACACACATTGGAAGAAATTAATGAAAAATTATTTCAAAATCTCGAGCAATGTATGTCTCCCGGAAGAAGGTGCAGGTTCGAATCCTTGCAGAGGCAACAATTGTTCAACAACTTATCGACGCGTTTAATGTTATTTATAAGCCCTGGTCTGAATATTTATATAATGTATACATATTGAATCATTATTTTATTAAGTTTACTTGTTTTACAGACAATAAACTTCAAAATGATGAAGTACAACTTACACCGAAAGCTTCGCTTAAAGACTCACCGAAAGAAGACGAAGTATCCTCTGAAGCCTCAAATAACATTAAGGAAGAAAATATCGGGAGCGAAAAGATTAGTACAGAAAAGAAAATTCCTTATCATGTAGAAAATTTCACACCTAGGCTGCCTTTTGCGCAGCAAGTAGAAAAAAGCAATCTAGCTGCTTTAAAAAATAGACTACAACCAGACACAGATTTAGATAAACTGCTTTGTAAAAAATGTGATATGAAACACAGTAAATTACAAGATTTATATGCTCACATGGCCAACCACTATAAGTGGATGCGGTACGCTTGTAAATTGTGTAATTTTAAACATTACAACTTCGAGAAATTGCCTGAACATGTAAAAATAGTGCATAAATTAAAAGGTGATTCAGATTTTTACTTTAGTACTGTCAAAGCAGTTGATGCTAATGAAGCTCTAGAATTATGTGAGCCTATGGAAGAAATAAGTGATACGAATGAGACAAGTCCCGATTCGAGACGGCCAAGCCGATGTTCGAGTGACTCTAGCCGACTGTCTGATGATAGCTCTTCCAGCAGTACCCGCGTTGAAGTAGGGGCTAAAAGGCGGAAAATGAATAATAGTAGAAATATTACTAAAAAAAGAAAAGAACTTGTCACAAATGGTAAAGTATCGTGTTAAATCATGACTTTTGTTAAATGTTTTCTTAAAGATAATTAACTTAATTTTTTTTTTTCAGATGAACATCTAGATAAAAAATGTAACGATGTAACTGTAGACAAACAAATATCTGAAAATGAATCGCCTTCAAATGCTAAAATTTTTGAAGAAAATTCGTCAGATATTGATGAAGTCGACGATAAAATAGCTAAAAAGAAAATCCCAAAAGAAAACAAATCAAACGTTTCCCGTAGACCAGTTCGAAAAAGGACTAGACCAAAAAATGAAGATTTTGAATACGACTTATCAAATTTATTGAAGATGGAAGCTCAAGGTTATAGAGATTCTCAGACAGGAACTAATACAAAATCTCATCAAAGTAAAAAGAAAATTCAGTTAGAACATCAAATAAATTATGAAAACGCAAACAAAGACTGCTTTGGCGCTCTTGACACTATTTCTAAAAAAGCCGTGGAAAACTCGGCAGCACATATGAAAATTTTGAGTTTTGTCAATAGTATGACGCAAAAAGAACAACGTCCCTCCAATGTTTTTGTTCGTCCAATGTTGCCTAAACTTCCAAGATCTGAAAAAACATCACCTAAAAAAGATTTAGTTGACGATTTAAAAGAAGTTAATGTTTCGAATAAAAGAACCACTGAAGCTAAAGGAAGTCCGATTAAAGATAGTGTCGACGATAAAATAGACAACACATTAAAACCCGTAGAAGAAAACTCAAATATCAAATTACACGATGAAAAAGTTTTATTGAATAATGATAAGGGTAAACAAAATTCTGAAACAGTAAAAGCAAGCTTTAACATTCCAGCTGTTGTCCCTTTAAAATTTCGCCGTCAGAGCTTAGATGTTATTAAAACACCAATTTTAAATAAAAATATTACTGATTTAACAAAAGCAGGAATGAAAACAAAAATTCTTGTTATTAAACCCATTAACAGAAATAAGGATGGAACACAGCCAATGAAACCATTGAAATTTCAAACCATCAAACTTAAAGATCCAACGAAAGGTAATTCTTCAACTGAAGAGAAACCATCTGATCAGTTAGTTGTCGTACAGGTTCCTAAAGTGGAATGCTCTGTTGCAATTCCCACAATAATCCTGGCTAATAATAATGCCGACTCAACAGAACGTGTTGAAAAAGAAGAAGGTGATAATAGCAGAAGCAATGAATACACATGTGAAGAAAATGATCCCCTTACTATCAACAATGAATCTTGTAATATTGCTGAGGGTACCATGAGCGAATTTGTGCCTATTAATTCAGAATCTGCAAGCAGTGAAAAAGTGTATATAAATGAAACAGACAGTCCAGTAGTGACGGCAACTTAACATGTATTGTATTATATAGCTTTACTATGCTATATTGTTTGTTTATTAAAGAAGTCTTTAGTTACATTGTACAGCTTTGTTCTTCTATATACGTAGGTAGGTAGGTAGGAAATAATAAAGGTAATAAGCTATTATATTGTTGTTTTAAATTGTCATCTCTTGAAATCCCTATATTGAGTTAAACTTTTGTAAAACTTCATGCAGTAATAACATTTTACAGCAAATATAGAATCATAATATACACATGGACTGTAATGTAATTAATTAGTGGAAAACTTTTTATTTCATTTTGTTTTTAATGTATTTTTTAAGTTTTTAAAAATCCTTATATGAAAAAACGTCAATAACCTTGAAACTAACAATCATCTTTGGAAAACTACAATAGATGTCATATATGAATGAATATATGTATATACTTTATTGCGCATCCAAAATGAAATAAAAAAGTATAAAAACTTAATGTAGAAGTGATGAGTATAATGGGTGGCCTTATTACTGAAAGTAATTTCTCCCACGCAACCTTTATAATAAATATATCTATTATATAATTAGATGTCATGTATGTATATTCAACTGATAAGAACTCTAAATTTTGTAATAACATTAAAGATTCATGCTTGAAAAGGAGAAACAAACAGCATCACTTTGTTGTTCATCTTGTACCTATCTGTGCCTATCTGTCAAGATTTTTCCCAGGAATGCATTGAATATCAAGTTGAGATTAATATCAAATATTCAGGCCCACTGCTACTTAAAAATGTGAAAAAGGTAGAACTGCCTATTACCGAATATTTTGCCAGCCAGAGGATCATAGTTTATAGGGGACAGAACTATAAAATTTTGCATACTCATACATTCAACATAATTTTTTTTGCTAATATCTACATTGTGCTGTTGGTTTTTTGACCATGGACTATGTATCTAAGAAACAGTTCTCGAATGGTTAAGTATGCCTTACAATAAATACAGCACTTTTTATTATATAATTTTAGCGAATATTTCTTCACTAGATTTGAAACTGAAACATACAGTGTTTTACTGTACATTACTTAACAATTGTAATGTAAAATACTATCTTTTTCACCTGAATGTGTTACACAATCCATCTTATATAATTAAGTAAAAGTTTAATCATGTGATTATAGTTTAGTTATATGAAATTTGGGATAAAGATTTACTTTGAGTACAGAAATAAAACAAAGGCTAGGGTATCACTAGTTACATTTAATAACAAATTAAGTTACATTCTCATCCATTCGCATTTATGACACTTAAGCATTCTTAGCTAAAGTTTCAGCCTTAGCAACAACTTCTTCGATAGGTCCTACCATATAGAATGCAACTTCAGGCAGATGGTCATACTCTCCCTGCAGAATTTTAGAGAATCCCTTGATGGTCTCTTCCAGAGGTACAAGTTTACCAGCATGTCCAGTAAATACTTCAGCCACTTGGAAAGGCTGTGAAAGGAATCTTTGAATTTTGCGGGCACGGGCCACAGTCAGTTTGTCCTCTTCAGATAATTCATCCATACCAAGAATTGCAATGATATCTTGGAGTGACTTGTAATCTTGTAGAATCTTCTGAACACCACGGGCTACATTGTAGTGCTCGGCACCAATAATGTTGGGGTCCATGATACGAGAGGTGGAATCAAGAGGGTCCACAGCTGGGTAGATACCAAGTTCAGCAATTGCCCGAGACAGCACAGTTGTAGCATCCAAGTGAGCAAAGGTAGTGGCAGGGGCAGGATCAGTCAAATCATCAGCTGGCACATAGATAGCTTGCACGGAGGTAATGGAACCTTTCTTTGTAGTGGTAATACGCTCCTGCATAGTACCCATGTCAGTAGCCAGGGTTGGTTGGTAACCCACAGCAGATGGAATACGACCAAGCAAAGCAGATACTTCAGAACCAGCTTGAGTAAAGCGGAAAATGTTATCAATGAATAGCAGCACATCCTGACCTTCTTGGTCACGGAAATATTCTGCTACAGTAAGGCCGGTCAAAGCTACACGAGCACGGGCACCAGGAGGTTCATTCATTTGGCCATATACGAGGGCTACTTTAGATGTTTTGTCTTTCAGGGAAATAACACCAGATTCTATCATCTCATGGTACAAGTCATTACCCTCACGTGTACGTTCGCCTACTCCAGCGAAAACGGAGTAGCCACCATGGGCTTTGGCGACGTTGTTAATCAACTCCATGATGAGTACTGTTTTGCCGACACCAGCCCCACCGAACAATCCAATTTTGCCTCCCTTGGCATAAGGAGCAAGTAAATCGACAACCTTTATACCAGTGACGAGAATTTCCTGCTCTACGGACATATCCACAAACTCGGGCGCTTCAGCGTGGATTGCAGCTGTTTTGTCAGTTGGAATAGGGCCACGTTCATCAATAGGCTCGCCAATCACGTTAATAATACGGCCAAGGGTCTCGACACCAACGGGTATACGAATGGGCGAACCCGAGTCAAGAACTGGCTGTCCTCGAACCAAACCTTCTGTACCGTCCATGGCAATTGTACGTACGACATTTTCGCCCAAATGCTGAGCTACTTCCAGAACCAGACGTGGTGAGCGGTTTTGGACTTCAAGAGCATTTAGGATGGATGGAAGGTTATCTTCAAACTGTACATCCACTACGGCACCGATAACGGCAACCACCTTACCTTGGCCTTTGCCTGAGGCTTTCGCCGCGTAATCTCTCTTATTTCCAGCGGATACTGCTGCAACTTTCGTACATTCCGACAGGGTCTTTTCGGCTGCCGTTTTAACGGCTAAGAAACCGCTTCCAACTCTACTTACAGCCCCTAACATTTTTATTAATCGTAGGACTTGGGCGGAGGAAAACTGGAAACTATAGAGTAAATTATGTAATAACCTAAAATAATAGCCGTACGTCGATAACCAAAGAATGATCTTGCCAGCAAATAAAAAAAGCTACTTCCCGGTAACATTTTTTTAACAGTGCACTTTGGTGGTGGCCCGGCATACAGTCGTTTGTCTCCATACAAAGAGTCGGACATAGCAGCTTTAAAAATCAAAATATTTTGTTTTAATAATCTAAAAATAACATCCGATTATCCGATAATAAAAATTAAATACGATTTTTGTATAGAAAGAAACGGCTTTAAAAATTGGTATTCAGGTATAATTTTCAACATTTTATCCATTGACATATGGTGCCCGTGATAGTTCATTGTCCGGGCGCTCGCTTTTAATTCAATATACTCAAGCAATTTGCGTACGATTCCTGGTGCCGGCACCAATGAAATTTTTTATTTTAAGTGCTGACTTATCACGTGTTCAGCGGTGAATGGAACATCGTGAGGAAACCTGCATATTTTCGAAATAATAACGAAAAAAAAAATATTTCGAAAGTATGTGAAGTCCGCCAATCCGCAGTGGGGCCGCGTGGTTGACTATGCCCTGATTCTTGACTGGTAGATATGGCTAATGGGATCACTTTCAAACCAAAAAGACACCTAGGGACTGATAAAAAAACTATGTATTGACATACACATTATGACACAGTATGACTTAAACATTTTGAACTTATTTTTAACGACACGTAATCATTATGAAGTATGTAAAATACAAGAGTTATGTCAGATAGCTAGACATGTTACTTCTTTAAGCAGTAAACTAACATTCCAAATTTAAAGTAATACAAACATATTACATAAACCAAAGATATCAGAGTTGACATCAAAAGAGTAAGAGTAAAATCTGAGATTACCAATCAACACACCCCCTTAATCTCAGATATACATCATAACACCAGAAGTACAGAAAACCCAAAAAAATTATCAAAATAACTGCTGCGGGTTTTGAATACATTTTGAACTTATTTTTAACGAAACCTAATCAATTTTCAAAATAATCTTTTGTTTCCAGCTATTTTAGTTACAATCTTGCTAAAAATGGTTCTAAGGGCTAGTCCATCTTTGAAAATTTCTTCGCAGCTGTCACTTTTGCTCAAAAACTGGAAAAACTCCAAATAATATAAATATTGCTGGGCCCATAACCTCTTGAATGGTAGATGTGGCTAATGGGATTACTTTCAAACCAAAAAAACACATAAGGACTGATAAAAAACCGATTTGTTTCAACTTAAAGGTTTTGAACTTATTTTTAACGAAACCTGATCATTATGAGATATAACAAGAGTTATGCCAGATAACTTCTGGACAGGTCTAGTGTATTCAGGTGGTGTTAGTTTTTTGACGTATAATAAAAACTTAAAATAAACCAATTCAACCTTAGACTTTTAATATTCAAGTTGGCTCTCATTTCATATTTTTGATGGGATATGTAGGTATTTATAAATTTTAAAGTTTTTTATAGTGCTAATCTAAAATAAAAAACTTTAAAATTTATAAAAAGCAATGGCGACATCTCTCGTTCGAATTATCGTTGTAAAACGATATTCGAAATTGTTTGTATGCTGGAAAGGATATAACAATAGATGCGCCAAGCATTGCTTCAAATGCTAAATAACAATGTAGAAAGAAGGCGTTAAGATTTTCGTCGCTGTGGCTATCAGCCGTTTAGCTCAGTGGCTAGAGCGTCAGGCCGCGAATGCCGAAGACGTGGGTTCGATTCCCACAGCGGCGACAATCTTTTCGTACTTTTTCTACATGTTTTAATATATAGGTATTCATAATAAAATTATTACCAAATGGTTTTTATTAATCAACTCTATTGATTAATAATTATCCTACGTTTGCGGGGTAACTATAATTATCTTTTTTTCGATATTTTTTAATTGTCTTGTACATTTGAAATGTTCGAGTGAATTGCCCACTCAGTATCCGGAATTTGTTTTACGCGTTTTCTGTTTATGCGAATCGCCTCGGCTGCAATGTAGATAATGCGGGGCAGTGCGGCGTGATTAATAATAATAATGGTCGCCCCAGTGGTCGAAATTTCGTCGAATCCAGGGTAGTGTGTTGTTTTTTTTTTTTCGATTCAATATATTTTTATGCATAATTTTAATAAAATATTAACATTCTGCACTTTTTGTCTATATAAACTATTAGTGTGATTTCATACTCCTCCGTCCGCGCAATGTGGATCAGTCAAGTTATAGCAAATTCAATAAAACTAGAATCCTCATCATTCTTTATGACATAAGAATAATATATCTTTTTGAATTGTCCAAATAGGACCATTATTTCCGAAGATAACGAAACGGTGGTAGATTTAAAAAATGACTATCGATAAATGAAATTTATATTTCTTATTTCACTGTGACGGTCGCCACCAGTTAGCCGTAAACGTAGTAGTTAGCCGTTGGCAACTATAAGGCGCGCAGTGTTTTGCTAGGTTAATTGCGACTGAAATCAATTAAATGTCCAACTTGTGTCTAATTCACCTTTTTTACAATGTATGAATATTTTTATAATGCTGTAATAACACTTCTTAAACACCAGATAAACTGTTTTTAACGTGATGGAAGGCCCAACACTGCGTGAAAAACTGTATTCCTTTGTAAAAAGAGAGAATAAATCTTTACCCTCTGCCCGCTACAAAGACACCAAGATAGTGTGAAAGGGCGACGCAATAGTTGTCACCCTCACCACAGATATGATAGAGATGATAACGATGTTTCATGGTTGTCGCCGTTATTCGAATTCGAACGGACTGGTCCGTCTGGGGAAGTAACACGACCTCACTGCTCAAAGAATGCTCACTGCACGGCGTGTAGTGGAAGTGTTACGCTTCTGCGTTTATATATTCATTAAATTAACGTTATTCCAGTATATATACGTTGCTTAGCACAAGGAATTTAATGGATGTAATAATTATGTTTTAGTCCAGTTACAAAAGTTTTATTTTCTATTTGAATTCTGGTCTGTCAATGTCAGTGTAGTTACTGTTAATTGTTATGTGTCAACCGTCATTTTTTTTCGTATAAGTTATGAATTAATATTAAGTTATTAACCTTAACTCTAGCTTTGTTTGTATCTGGTTATAGATACCACATTCTTTTTTATGAAATATGTAAATAATAAAAACTTCAATGAAAATGTACGGAGCGCGTTTATTGCCAAGAGTACGTATTAAACTATGAGAAATATTGAAATATTGTCTAAAAGTTACATAAGTTTTCTTTTTAATAACATGGATTATTGATATTTTAATATTTTTAAGATTCTCCGTCTTCCACGTTGTACAAATATTATTGATTACACCAGGCCTCTTAATGTTGTGCAAGACATAACCTTTAATTCAAACAAATATAGCTCAGTAGCAATAGAAGATAGCTATGTGAAAAAATTCATGAATGCTGTTGGTTGGATGGATCAATCAAGAACAGTAAGAGTCATTCTTTATATTATAATTTGAGTACATTATAAATTAACAATATAATAATGTAATTTACTAAATTAATTTTTTGCACACATTGTATTTGGTCCAAAAAATTTTTGAAACATGCTGAAAAAATAAATTTTTACAATATCACAAGTGCAATATTGTCTCAGTTTTTCATTGACATCTATCGAGTTAGGGGTTCATATTTTTTTATAGAGAGGACAAACTTTCTATAAAAAACTATGAATGCTTACAAAAGCAAACATGCAAAGTTTCAACATTGGGAGAGGCATAGTATTTGACAAGAAAAACTATTGAAAATACTGAAATGTTTATTAATACAATAATTAAATAATAGAATTTTGCCATATTGAACATTTTAAATGGTGAACTATTACATTACTCTGGTTTGTACTTTTCCCTAGATCACAATGCATAATAGATAAAGACAATGATTTTATTTAATGTTGAATACAAATGTAACACTAAAACACACTGTAACACAAAAACATTTTTCCATTTCTTTTTGTCCAAAGGAACTAGTTTCATTAAATAATTTGTAGTATTTAAATAAGTATAAAAAAATATTACATTTATTAGGTACCTTGAATTGACCTCATCCAATAGATAATAGTTCTAATATCTGTAATTAATAATATTACCTTTGTTAACTTTTATTCAAGTGTAATCAACCAGTAATTGGGTATTTACTTAAGATATGTTTAATTTTAGCGACTTAAACTGACAGGATACTTTCTCTATGAATCTATACCAGAAAATGTAGCTTATCATGATTGGTTTGAAAAATTGGATTTACCAGACACCTTTGCGTCATGGTTTATAGTCACAGAACTTCATGTTTGGATATTATTAGTGCGGTATATGGCAGAAGATGTCACATTGATAACAAATGACAAGAAGAAATACATTAAAGGTGATGGTCACTTTGTAAGGAATTGTGTTATAGAAGCTTTGTGGGCTGATGTTGGTAATCGGATTAAGCTTTTAGAGGTTAGTAGATAAATTAATTTTAGTTGATACATCGGATAAACCATGCATGCTACATAGTAATAATGACCTTAATTTTTTTTTTGACCTTTATGATTTTAGCATAAAGTTCTTGTTTCAGTGGCAATTTAATATGCCTAGGTATATGTCACAATAATGAAAGGTCAAAAATGAATTTATTGTTTCTCAAAATATTGTCGATTTGCGTAAATGCATGCTTTTTCATTTGATTAAATCAATTTTGAAAATATTTAGGCCACTCCTCCGGGGTGAAATCATAGGCGTTTTTTTCATACTTTTCGACATCCTTTTTTCATGATGAAAATCGTTGACCGCGCCATACAAATGGTCGTGTACCAGTCACTATTCACAATATGATGAAGATATTTTTTTTTATAAGAAGAAAGTAAAAGAAATCATTATCATGAAGTTAGAAAACCGTGTCTATGCCTAATATATAAAAATCATAATGTTCATCATTATTGCAATATTGATTAGCTCTTTTTTTATTTGAAAAATTGCCAATCGAGCCAACTGTTCTCCTGATGTTAAGTGACGACATCTATAATACTTTAGGCCTTCGAATTTACCCGGACGAGCCTGCCTATTCATGCTACAGCATAAGCTATTAAGTGGCTCTACCACAGTAAAAGCTCACTATTAGAATGCCACTGATATAATATTTCTTTTAACAATTACTATTTCTCTTAACACTAGTATCTAACTTCCATGATCAAAATTCGCGAAACTTTTAATAGTTGAAATAGCCTCTTATTCTTAATCAGGGCGCAAATCCAGCAGTTGCAAGAAAACAAGTAACAGAACTATCAGAGCAGTTTCAAGCAGCACTAGTGGCTTATGACGAAGGTCTGAGTGAAGATAGAATTATGGCCTCAGCTGTATGGAGGAGGTTTTATTATCTTGATGACAATGCAAGAGCTGAGAATATTGAACGAATTGTTCATTTTATCCGGCACCAGGTACAATATTATGCTATGAATGTTATCAAATAACTATTTGTTATATTCCTAATATCTAATCTGACATATTTTTTACACAACATTCTCTAGTCCCAAACTAAGCAACGCTTGTACTATGGGTACTAGAAAACGATATACTTACATACTTAAACATTTAACTTTTCTTTTGTAAAAAACATATACAGTTATAATTAAACAAATGTATTATCTAATAAAATGTATTTTTTGCAGGTTTCAGTACTTGACAAGATTCCGAGCAAAGATTTAAAGTGGAAGCCGGTTTTTACCTGGTTAAGTATAAGTGATCATTAATATAAAGGATGTGTGTTTTACAGTACAAATTATATTAAATATGTAATGGCTGATTGTAGTTATTTATTGTTTGTAAATAAAAATCATGTATTTCAGTTTGAATAAAATAGCCTACGAAGCTCGTCGCATTTTTCTCTCCGCCACAGAACGGTTGTTACGATTTTACACAGATTATCCAGCTTGCAGTTTACGTCACAAAACGGCCATCTTGTGTCACTTAGCTTTGAAAAATATGCAGAGTACAAATCCAATAAGTTCTTGTTTGTTGTAACCATTCGATGGACTAAGGCGTCCATAGATTTGGCGCTTAAATCGCTTACACCAAAATTATTTTTCATATCGTACAATTGAAACCAGTGAGGTCGACGGTTGGGCGTCAAGTTTGCCTCTGTCAAATTATAGACGTAGTTTACGATGCTCTGCGGCTCCTGCAAAAAATAAGTTGTATTACAAAATCAAGGCAACTGAAAGTAGACTTGTCTTGTTTTGAATTTTTAACCGATTTCAAAAGGAGGAAGTTCGCAATTCGACTGTATTTTTTTTTATGTTTGTTATCTCAGAACTTTTGACTGAGTGAACCGATTTTGATGATTCTTTTTTAATTTCAAAGCTGGTGCTTCTCATGTGGTCCCATATTAATTTCATTGGTATTGGATCTTGGGTTCTGGAGATACTTAGGGAAATCAATTATAAAATGAATACAGAGCAAGATATTTGAAGTCTGTTTTGTTTTTCGTTAGTAAAAATGGTTATAATTGTAATAATTCATTTGCTCATCCCTTGCTCTTAATTGTTTAGGAGTATTTTGTTTAACAAATAAACCTCAACCACCAGACATCACGTAATTTTTTGATTAAGGTTTAGTAATCGTTTTGTAACCAATTTGATCAAATAGGTAAAATTGAACTGTTACGACATTTAATACGGTTGGGATAGTTTCAAACGTATGGGAGATGATGTTTTGAGTAGACTCAAAAGCAGCCCTTTTATAAGCGTCGTAACCTTGGAATTGATCCCGTCATACTTTGAAATCGAATATAATTATAAATTATTATTGTTCGGTGGCGCCGTTGCTAAGCTATTAGTATTAGCGTCGGAGTTCGCGGGTTCGATTCCCACACGGAACAAGTATTTGTGTGGAGTTTGTTTCCCAAGGAGGGTTGACGTCAAGCAGGCGGCCAGTCGTAAAAAACATAGTCTAAACCGCTAACAACATTTTGATGACATGATTCACATATTTTGTTGACCCAACCTAGGTGGGATTTACGAAACAACGGTTCTACCATGCCTAACATATGGTTGTCAGACGTGGTCAATAAGAAAAGAGGACGAAGAAAAAATTGCGATATGTCAAAGAAAAATGGAAAGGGGTATGCTGGGATTAAAATTATCAGATAAAATCCGTAACAGGGACATCAGAAACAAGACAAAAATAATAGATGTACGAAAGAGAATTAGATTATTGAATTGGCATTGGGCGGGACATGTTTGCAGGATAAACAATAGATGGACAAAACGGTTAACAGAGTGGGAGCAGAGAGTTAACCAAGGGACAGAAAGAGGAGAAAAGGGCGACCTGGTAAAAGATGGAGAGACGTTTTCAGCCACAAGTGTGGTAACCACTGGATGCAAATAGCTCGGGAAAGAGATGTTTGGAAAGGTTTAGGAGAGGCCTACGCCGCAGAGGCGACTAATACTACTAGCATATTATAATTAAAATATTGTTATTAATAAGATATATAGTTAAAAAGTAGTAAGTAAATAAAGCTATTTTTTTGTAGGCTATTTTTATTTTTATTTTTTATTTTAACCTAGGTGGGATAAGGGCAGGATGATGATGATGATGAAACTATTCTTGCATTGAGCAAGCGCATTATAATATGATAATAAATAATACATACAAACGTGCTACTGTTGAACGTGGCAATTTTGTAGTTTAAATTGTAATTTGTGTACGACGTTGCACTGCCCGCACCCCACGCCACATTGATTGGTCTATCGTCTGTTAGGCTGTAGAATATTTTGAATTCATCCGAATGCACGTGTCCGTTGAATTCTGCTGCAATCGTCGATGAGAATCTGAAAACATGACATGTCAACTTGACGATGTGAAATATCAATAGATGCAATCATTTAATTGCAAATATAACATGAAAAAAAATCTTTTTAATAGAAGGTACCGTACCGGTGGTTCACATTGTAATTATTATCATAGTTATCTACAATATCAAGCCCTGGTTGCCAAACTCACCAGAAAAAATGTTAGGATCTATTACAGTAAATGTGACCCAATACATCCTCTGTCTGTTCGGTTCGCCTTTAATCTAGATTAAAAACTATGAGTTAGCCATCAACTCATTATGAAACTCATGTTATTTGTGTTCAAGTAGCTATATAAATATATGTTTATAGACCAAATATATTATAAAATATTATAAAAAGTCAAGCTCCACAGTAAGGCAAGCCCTTATTAAAGACCTTTGCTCAAAGAGGTAGAGATAATTAATAAGTTTTCCGTGAGCCAGATTTCCTTCGCGTTGATTTTATATACATAAGTCGATGGTCTTGACACGAACGTATTCGGAATTTATCCTTGCTTCATTTTAAATTTTTAGTGCTAGTCCACAACTACTCCTTAGATAAAACTTAAAAATGTATAGATAAAACTGTCGCAATTATTCGCCGCTGCCAGGACTTTTTTTATGTTAGAAGGTGGTGAGCGATTTAGCGGTTCACCTGATGTTAAGTGATAACCATCGCCTACTGACAATTGCAACACCCGTAGTGTTGCAGATGCGTTATAACCTTATAATAAAGTGGGCACGGGTTACCACACTCACCAGACGAAACGCAGAAGTATAACATTTCCACTTCGCACCGGTCTTCTGTGAGATCGTGGTACGTACCAGGACGGACCTGGCCGTTCGTGCAACAGCGAAGACTGTTGCCTTGCCCTCAGTTATTTCGAAACTGCGCATTCCGTATTACTCTCTAGTAAGCGGTCGACATCACTACTTCATTCACATCACATTCATTGTAAAAAAATACACCTCTATCTAATCAAATGCATATCAATTTGATGTTATAGATTGAGGTTTTTGTGGACCACAGTAACCGATAACAATTTTACTTACCTGTTTACAATTCGAGCATATTCCCTAGTCCACACATAGGCCAAGTCATGTACTCCTGGCGGTATGTGGGTCAATATATGAACCTTTTCGCCCGCCAATTCTGCTTTGTGCAGCTCTTGAACGAGCCAATCTAAATGACGTTTACCCTCCAACGGATCATACACCAGCCACCTGAAAGAAAGGTACTTTTATTTGTCAAAACAAAGTTTATTTGTGCAAACGTCCCTTATGTCCTACCATGTCTGGTGTACAAAATAAAATTTTTATTTTGGCAGTCTTACGATCTAGGAATTCGGGATCGGAGTTAATCGACGGTCGATAAAATTTTTACTCTACACTACAAATTTAAAATTAGATCAACTACCTCATTAAAATTGTCATGAGTCATGACGGGTTGTTGACATTCAAGACGTTAACTCCGTGACCGTAACATTATCCCCCTCCGGTATCTGCTCGTTCCGGCAATCATTTGGTCTGTTCAAAGCACAACCGTCTTCATCATTAACTGTCCTCATCTGTGATCACAGGTGGATGTCACCATCAACGCAGATATGATTGAAGAACCGGCTCTTCCGTTTCCTCCCGAAAGCGATATTTTTATAGTACCTCACCGTGCTTCTGAGCAAGATTATATGTAAATAGCAATATTTAGTCTTGAAGTGACTCAGTCAATTCTTGCTGTTGTTACGAATTTGACGAAGTCGATTCCCTTCGTAAACAACTCGGCGATGTCGGGCAGCAACTAGTCAGACACTAGCACACAGTTGGCCCATTGTCTGTCGAACATAGCCACTATCCTAGCGCGCAACACTACTTATGTACCTCCACCCGCCTTCATGGACAAGACGTACGTCGCGGTCTTACCATATCTCAATGAAAACTTCTTGTTTTACTGATGTCAAATGTCGAGAACGTAGCGGCCCTTGTGCATTTTGCGGACGATTGCACTTTGTTTAACGTGTTTAAGGTCTTCTCATATGTGACGCCGTTGGTCAAACCTTGGCTGTCGCTGTTAACGTCATCCAATTCTGACTCACAGGATATGGCTTCGATTTGGATTTCGGCTGTGGCCTTTTTATGCACGAAGATGGCAAGCGAGTTGGGGGGTCACCTGATGTTAAGCGATAACCACCGCCCATTGACAATTGCAACACCCGTACGGTTGCAAATACGTTGCCACCTTTCAAAAAATATGGTCCCGTTACCTTACTCGACAGGCGAAACGCAGAGGTATAACACTTCTACTTCACGCCGGTTGCCTGTGAGGTCGTGGTACTACCCCGGACGGTACTGCCCATTCATGCAACAGCCATGACTGCTGCTTGGCAATACCACAGCATTGTATTTACATGTCAAAATAACGTTTTTAATAACGCATCAAATTTTTTACTGTTTATTGTTATCCCTTGCATAAAATAACAATCTGAACTGGAAACATTCGAAATTTAGTGTATAGAGAACTTACCAGTTGTATTTGTAGGCAAAGTTGGTATTAAGAGAAATAGCTCTTAAGCCGGGTCTAACTAATATTGAAAAATCACCGCGCACTCGTAGAGATTCTTTAGCCTCATCGGTTAAATAATAATTCCATTTCTTTATTAAGGCCTCATAGAGCCAAGTGGTGTTTAGTTTTGGTGCGGTTATTGTGGGTGGTGCAAATCTGTAATAAGTCATCTTTGTAAAAAAACTATTGTTATTTTTTATAACAGTACATTAGTATATAGATTTCTATTTACAAAAGTAAAAGGATCACATTTATTTTTCAAATAAATCACATCAGTTAATTGGAATATAATTTAAAATTCATGTAACCATTTTGCAAGAATCAAACAATAATATAATTACGAAAATTATTCTCTATCAATCCCGCTTAAATTCTCATAAATTATGCTTACTGATTTGTTGGCTGTGATTCGTGGTTGCCAATGGTTGGTATAATTAACACGTTTTCTCCAAAACTCTTTCTCATCTTCTCAATAAGATATAAATTTACTTCATTGATCAGTTCATACGAAGTTTCCCAAACACCATGGTCTATAGTATCTCCGATGTAGTATACGACGTCGAACTGAAAATATATCAATATAATTGTGGCATAAGTTTGATTTTTAATTTTTTGTCTCTGCACAGATCCAGATGTTCTAGCCACAGCCGTCAACATCCTCGCCGCGCGAAAATCTCGACGTCTTATGTAGGTACTTTGCCTTTATTGCATTTTTAGCAATGCTTGGCGGCATCTAATGTGCTTCCTTTACCGTCAACACACTTTTTCAAATGACTTTTGTAAAATGTATATAATTTGTATATATTGTTCATATGTATATATTTTTACATATTACATTACATGTTTACATTTTTAGGCAAAAACGCTTTGTAAGAGAAATAATGTTAACACTAACAATGCTGAAGTAACCATGAACAACTCACGCTATGTGAAGAAGCAATCCTTTCGATAACGTCATCAAACGCCCACCTCGGCGTGTCGCAGTTTCTGTAATCGCCCCAATAACCTGCCGGCTCAGCATTTCTCGGACTTTGGTCTCGTGAGGTGCTCTCCATCCGCATTCCTCTGATCTTCGTAGCCACACTTAAGTCTAATAAAATGTCTTTGTCTGTATTCAGCACGCTGCTTTCAACGACATCTGATGGAATATTAGGGGAGTTTGTAGTAGCGGGTTTTTGCCCTTTCCTACAGCACGTTGGCTCATCACAATCCGCCACCCCGAAAGCTTCGTACAGTGGATCTATGTGCGCGTCCGTTAGGATAGCCACCGTGAGTGGCGGCGTCTGTTCGATAGACACAGGCTGGAACGATTATTTAACGTTTGAAAACATGCTTAACATTACGCACGTCTTCTACAGTTCGTTTCAAAATGTCAAAGCTGAAAACTGCAAAGATTGCGATTGAAAAACTATTGATTTCAATTTAAACCATGAGTTCAGTGGAAAAGAGAAATATGAATTAAAATATTTCTTATACATATACAGCTGCAGTTTTGCAGTTAACTGTAAAGCAACGAATGCATTATTCTTGGGGCAGATAAGTTTTTGACCGTTAGCAATAAATCCAGCTGTTATCATAATTTTAATAACTTCTGATAAGGTTCTAGTGCGAAGTGACCCACCTCAACGTGAATTTGTTCAGGTAATTCAACTTGCCAATCGAACCTTGAGTCATCGTATGAGCAGAAGGTAGGATTATCGGCCCTTTGCAAAACGAGGCCACAGAAGTTGCTTGATGTCACGCCTGGAGTGTTTTTGATGATATAATTAATGATGTGCTGGAAAAAGTATAATCGTTGTTATTTAAAGTTTTTTATAGTGCTAATCTCTGCACTTAACATTAAACATTAAAACTTGTAGAAAAAGTACGATAAGATTGTCGCTGCTGTGGGAATCGAACCCACGTCTTCGGCATTCGCGGCCTGACTATAGCTTATTCATTCGATTTTGTGCGCCCAGCGCCCAGCGCCGAAGCCAATACATAATAGCTTAGGAACTAGCATATTACAGTTTGTAAATAGAAGGGTATATTGGAGCCTACAAAGCGATAATACCTTTTGTACATAATGTAAATTAAGTTTTAAGACCCGGTTTAAACCATTGCGGTTTCGGAGCTTACTCACATACAAAGAAAAAATTAAGTCTATGATATTGATATACAGCGTGTCGCTACTAACGCGACCATAAATCAATACAAATTTAAAGGATAACTTATTAAAATTGTTTTAATCATTTACATTCCTTTAACATCAATATTTACCGAGTCATTGAATTTTCCAAAACAAACAATTTTGGAACATCCTTACGTATAAAACTGTAACGTAAAGTTCATTTGTAAAAGGTCCCAAAGCAAATGAATGGGTTGAATGAATTTGAAAGGGATAAAACTTACTGTTAGAAGGAGAGATTTGTAATGCGACGCTGTGGCAACGAATGAAAAAGTGTTTGAATGTATGAATCAGGCAGGTGTAGTTGGATATGATGTTAAAAATTTTCTTTCTTTTTTATTTAATTACTTTGTATGTTTTTTTTTTAATCATGGATTTCTTTAACGTTTTATATTTTTTTATGCTTATTGGCAAGTAGCTAGACGTGTGTTCATTTATTGTCGCGGTTGTAACGACACACGGTATACAAGTCTGTTTATATTTTATGATAGAACTTCAGAGTTAGTTGCTTTATATTAATAATTATACTATCTACTATATATATGCATAATTCATAACCATCTCGTTTGGAACAAAAATCATGGTCATACATGGATCTAATAAAAAAAACTGTGCATTTGTCATTTCTATTTACTTTGCTAACCGGTAAATTGTTAATGTGAAAAAAAACTATACAAAGGCATTGCAGTGAGAAATTATATGTTTTGACAATAAGCAGTTCTTCCGCAGACGTTGGCTAAAGAAACACGAGGGCTACAATTTTTATAATTTCACAATTTTTTTTGGAAACGCCTTATCAAAGCTTCTACTTCGATAAATAGTAATTTTCTATTTCTGTCCCAAGATATAATTTCAGCGGACAGACAACCCCAAGTAATGAAATCGCGTTTATTCAAATTAACCTTTAAATGAACGTTCATTAAATAAGTAAATAATTAATTACTGTCGAAAAATAACGCGTTCAGGCGAAAGGCGCAGGTGCGAATCGTGGCAACGAAAAATGACAATTACGACAGTATCGAAAATTTATCGACATATTACAAGTTTCAACTTTTATAAACTTTTACGCACCAGGTTCAAAGAAACTGCTCCATTGCAAACATTTATACTTTCGATACCAAGGATGTAGCACATACGCGATATTGAATTGGTTAAGCTTTCATCGGTTGCATCATTAGCAACTAATTCAATCAAAGCTGAAAATGCGCTGCGACAGATTAAACAATCGAGACTCTGAAACAGAAAAGGTTTTTTATGTAAGAAGGCAAGCGAGCTGGCAGTTTATCTGGTATTAAGTGATAACCGCCGCCCGTGTACATTTGAAACACCTGCACCGGTGGGGTTGCAGATGCGTTGCCACCTTTTAATAAAGTGGGCTCCGATTACTTGATTCACAAGACGAAACGCATAAGTTCTTCCCCGGACGGACCTGCCCTTTTGCGTGGCTCTACCACAGAGCGTGGCTATGTTTTATGTAGAAGGTGAGAGGTTTTAAACCTGATTAAGCTATTATTGGCGTACATGAACATTTAAGACATCACGGTAAATATAGGCTCTTATAATTTGAATCCTGAAATCACCAGAAAATAGTTTATAGCATTGTCTCTTTCACCGCCGCTTGCTGATTGGCGGAAAAAATATTAGGAATCTTATTGTCAAACGTTTATTAAATCAAATTATCACGTTACAAACAGGTTATTGTACAGATTATTGTAACTTAATTGATAAGATCTATATCGATGAATGTAATGAATGAAGTTAACAGAGGTTAGTAATTATTGATTTATCCGAAAATACCATCAAACTTTTTAATCTTACCATTCGCACTTCCGTTTGAAATTCATAGTCAAACTTCAAGTAATAAGGTCTGCGAAGAATTTCAAAAATATCTTCCTGTAGTTTCACTTCTACATTTGATAAATTTTTATTCGTCAAAAAATTCTTAAACACTGCTGCTACTTCATCTGAAAAATAGAAACACTAATAAGAACCTGCCTTTAAGCGTAAAATTGATTATCAATTTTTGCTTACACAATTAGTTGATTTAAATCAAGTGTTCTTTGTTCTTATCCGACACGGTGATAATATGAATTTATTACGACTTCGATTAAGGTTGTAAGTAATTTGAAAATGCGACATTTAAAAATTGTTTTAGAACAGAATATTTAATTATTCTATCGTTCAAAACGGTATTGTCGTAGCAAAATAAGTCACTTGAATAAGTACTATCAAACGCTATAAAGTATCAATTTCATTTTAACCAGAGTTTGAGGAACTAGAAAGAGAAACCCCTAATTATAAAAGTATTAAGTACCATGTTGCTCACAGGCTAATGATTAATTAAGAAAATAAGATTTTATTTATGACTTTATTTTTGGAAAGGCGAAACGAAAGTGTGGAAATCTACTTTAATAAAATCTAAGCTCTACCTAGTTCAAACAAACATACGGACGAAAATATGTGATAAGTTTATTATAAACTAGTGGTCGCCCAGTGGACGAAATTCGACCATAATTAATTATACATGGTAGTTTATGTAATGTTTTTATATTGATGTATATTTTACTAGCTGCTGCACGCGACTACGTCTGCGTAGAATAGGCTGAAGGCGTAATGTCTTATTCTGATATATAAGCTATATAATTATAAAGTTTCATTAGAAATCCATTCAGTATTATTTGCGTGAATGAGTAACAAACATCCATCCATACGTAAAAACTTTCGAGTTTATAATATTAGTAAGGATGCATAATTTTAAAAAAATATTAGTATTCTGCACTCCTCTATAAACCATAAGTGTGGGAAATTTCATACTTCTCCGTCCGCGCAATTTTCGTAAAAAGGGAACAAACTTTTTGCTTTACATATTATTATACTGGGAGATTTTTTGAGAAGTGCCCAAATTTACACAGGAGGTTCAGACTCGGTAGTATAATCGTTCATTGTAATAAAAAACAAAGTTTTTTTTCCAAAAAAAATGCCATTATATTCCCTAAAATACAGAACGTGTTGACAATGAGGTAGTCATTCATAAATACCAAAATTTTACTGTGCACGTACGTGTGTGTGTTAGTTATGAATGATCGCGCGTAAAATAAATATAAATCAAGCACTTTTTGAGATAAGTTCAAATTTATGTAATTGATTACTTAACAGTAATTTTAAATATTTATCATTTTTTATATAATATTATTTATGTCTAGAATTTAATTAAAAAAAAATAGATACACTTAGAAAAGCGACCCTGTATAGATAAGAAGCAATATGATACGAAGACGTAATAACTAAAAGTTAAGTGACCATTAGAACATAAAATAAGCCAAGCCTATTTGTAATCATCTCTCACTGTATTCAGAAAGCTGTTTCAAAACGATTAAAAAGGATAACTGTCGGTGACTTTAATTTAAATAGAGTTTCTAAGAATGCTTGTATGCTTTCATTATTTTAAAAGGCGAATGCGTTTTGAACAAAATGATGGACTTTGATAAAACACTTGAAAGTTAAGAATTACGTTCAGAAATGGCTCTCATTTTGATGGACAAGGCTTCCATTATTGCAATTGTACTGGTGACTGTAATTAACTGTGGTAGGGCCACGCAACAGCTTCGCTTTTGCACGAATGGGCAGGTCCGTCTGGGTAAGTACCACGTCTTACAGAAGATTGGCGTGAAGTGGAAGTGTTATGCTTTTGCGTTTCCTCTGGTGAGTGAGGTAGCCGGGGACCGCTTTATTATAAAGTGGCAACGTATCTGCAACCCTACCGGTGTTGCAAATGTCCATGGGTAGCAGTTATCACTTAATATCAGGTGAACCGCCAGCTCGCTTGCTAACTTCTTAGGTTAAATAAAAATTATACGTGGTAAATGCAAGAAGTCAGACATTCTTTTTAATTCTTAATATCACAAAGGCTCGCCTTGCAAGAATAAATAATTCCAATAATAATAAAGTTCTTGCAGATTCCTAAGATTTCCGCCCATTTTTCATAGTGACTGGATTTCTCAAGTTGCCCGTAACATGTACAGCGTGTCGTTACCATCGCGACAATAAATGAACACACGTCTAACGCTACTTGCCAATAATCATAAAAAATATTAACGTTAAACAAAATCCATAATTAAAAAAAACATTTTTCAAACAAACTAATTAAGTAAAAAAGAAACAAAATTTGTAACATCCTATACAACTCGCGCCACAGCGTCGTATTACAAGCCTCTCCTTCTAAAAGTATGTTTTCTCTTTTAAATTCATTCAACCCATTCATATGCTTTGTGACCTTTACAAATGAACTTTACGTTACGCTTTTATAGGTAAGGGTGTTCTAAAATTCTTTGTTTTGGAAAATTTAATAACTCTGTAAATATTGATGTTTAAAGAATTTAAATGTTTAATACAACTTTAAAAAGTTATCCCCTATATGTGTGTTCATTTATTGTCGCGATGGTAACGACACGCTGTATATGTAGGTACCACGCTACGCTCACTAAATAAACTTAATGTTCCATGCACTTTATCTCATCATAATATGTATTTTGAGGTGACATGATAAGAGTGAAATATAAAAAAAAATATAATCTTAAAATACTTTGGAAAAGTCTGTTGTAGACAATGGACCTCATAAATTTGCACGAATTTAATAGACACGAGTACCATACCTGTCGTTATAAAAAGTTTTGCAAATATATGTAGACTACCATTTTAATTAAAAACGAATATAGAAAAGTAATTTTAAAATAGAAAATATGTGTCACTAATAGTGAAATGACGAAAGGAAGATGATTTGTTTAAGGCTTATATTTTAATAGACAATCAGGACAATACCGTGAATATTTCGTTATTCTTAAATAAATGTATTAGTTTGTTAATGTAAATAGGTACCTAATAACAAAGAATTATTATTCAACACAGCAAGATATTTGTAACCCAAATATGATAAACTCTTACCTGATGTTACATTTTTAGCGAAAGCTGTGCAAATTAAAGATAAAAATATATAAAACAGTAACATTTTGGCTACTGAAAGCTATTTTTTTCGTTTGAAATAATTATTTAGTGAATATTAGATTTCGCGATAAATCTTATTTTATTAATAGAAAAACATTTTTAAAATACCGCAACCGCGATGTTGTATCGACTATTGTTCATTCTCCACTGTGTAAAACAGAAATCATCATCTGGTACTTGAATAACTCTTTATCTAGAAGCGTATATCAGTTATCTAAAAGCTGATGGCTTAACTAGTACAACGGGATATTGGAACCAATGAAATCGCAAAATTAATTCTCAATGCATGTCAGGTTAACGATAACAGCAAATCCGAAACATTTCTAATGAAGAAATTTAAATTACCGTTTTATAATTATCTTAATGTGCATGAAATCACACTGATAATTTAGATACTAAAAATTCCGTACTAGTATTTTCTTTTCTTTTCAGCCAATGAAAAGGAATCAAGGTTTGAAAAGAATTAAATACAGGTGTAATCCAAACTGTTTTTTTAGTCTAAATTTAAGTCACAAATAAATAGTATATTTTTTGTATAATAATTTCAGATGAGATGTTACAATAAAATATATACTTATAAGAATATTAGCCGTTACAGTACAATTTCGATCTTAGGAGGTGATTGACTGCAGTAAAGAAATATACTAATGTCGTAACTCAGAAAGGGGCAAAAAATTACTATCATAGTTAATATTGAGGTCAGTTGTGATATGATTTAATTAGTTATACGATAACAAGATAAAACGCTTCTCCTTACCTAACTAATCTGAAAATAATGTCATATAAATGTTTTATAACTTAATAAAATATTTTTGCCACACCTAAATACGCACTTCAACTATAACAAACAACACACATACCAAACGTAAGTACGAATTTGTATGTAAATAAAATTTGATTAAATTGTATATTACTTCTTCACTAGAGTCTTGTATAATGTGTAATATATTGTGTTGTAATATAGTGGTTTACAATTGCTGATGCTATATAAATAATGACTGTAATAGATCAGGTTTCCGGTCTTAGTTCTCTATACTGTAGCAATCTGTTCAAATCTGGTGTCGGCGCAAAAGAAATTGTTTGCAATGTTCATCACTAATACATCACGTGCTCATCGATGAAATTTCGTAATAAATAAAATGTTTTCGTAAATATGTGCAGTTTGCCAATGCACGGTGGGGTCACGTGGTTGACTCTATGCCCTGTGTACAGAAGCCTTTGCCCAGCAGTGGCACATATTATGTCTATATAGGCTGCCACTTCATTTATGCTACCTATTTTGGAAAATATTGTATTTTATAGTATCAAAATCGGTTGTAATAATCTAACCATTCTCTGATAAATCAAACGAATTCCGTATCTCGTGTCTGTTTTTATTTATCAATTTACTAGCTTTTCGCCCGCGGCTCCGTGCGCATGTACTATTTTTTTATATCGTGCATAAAAGGCCTATAGCCTTCCTCAATAAATGGGCTATCTGACATAAAACAAACATAAAATTGTGAAGAGATCTCCACGCGTGATCGGTGGTGCGCTATCTAAGCCATTCAGTTTGGTGAGCGTTAAAGTCGCCGAGAATCACGATCTCTGCGGGATCTGCTGCAGCAAGGAATCTAATCTGTAGCTATTTTCATGTGCTCTACGAATCGGTCAGTTTTGGCATAACCGCTGTGCGATCTCGGATACAGGCACGTGTAGATTCGTAGATGGTCTTCGCAGTCTACGCGCAGCCAGAGGATGGATTGATCCCGCCCTTCAAAGCTATAATATATAATAATTACACTGTTTTTATAAAATCCCATGGAATTTACATGAAATAAATTAATGATAAAAAACTTTTTAAAAACAAGCTTTTGTTTAATTGCCCTAAAAAGAAGAAAATAAAGTTTAAATTTGATCAAATCAATCAATTTATTACACGCTTGTCGCGAGATTTCCATATTTTATAAAAAACATTATCTTTCATAGAATTACTTCTAATACGTATATCAAGAACGACTAGTTCGTACAAAGGTAAATGACGTGACAAACCTTTATATCCACCCGGGCAAACATACATACTTACATTGCAAGTTAAATAAACTTGTAAAAAGGATTAAAATCAAATAGAGTACAATATAAGAACAAATTAGAATCAGTTTCATGTCTGGTGGTGTGTTATATACAGTGTGTTGTTACCATCGCGACAATAAATGAACACACATATAGGGGATAACTTTTTAAAGTTGTATTAAACATTTAAATTCTTTAAACGTCAATATTTACAGAGTTATTAAATTTTCCAAAACAAAGAATTTTAGAACACCTTACCTATAAAAGCGTAACGTAAAGTTCATTTGTAGAGGTCACAAAGCATATGAATGGGTTGAATGAATTTAAAAGAGACAAAACATACTGTTAGAAGGAGAGGCTTGTAATACGACGCTGTGGCGCGAGTTGTATAGGATGTTACAAATTTTGTTTCTTTTTTACTTAATTAGTTTGTTTGAAAAATATTTTTTTTCATTATGGATTTTGTTTAACGTTAATTTTTTTATGATTATTGGCAAGTAGCGTTAGACGTGTGTTCATTTATTGTCGCGATGGTAACGACACGCTGTATACAGCGCCCATACATTTCTGCCCCATTGTCCTTTAAACAAAAAATGTAGAAACTTTCAACAATACGACAATAAAAAGCATTTCCTTACTAGGAGATAATTTCATTCACGATTCGAACATCATTCTAAAAACTTAATCGGCATATTATCAAGATATTTAAAATCAACTAATTAGGTGATACCATTACAAATTGATAGCTAGGCTCAGTGGACTAATAAAAGTTAAGTTTTTTGTCATAAAAATTTTCTGTCTCGTTACTATGATAACAAATTGCGCGAGGTTTTAATCAATGCAGGGCATGTATCTTCAGAACCACGACAAAGTTTTTGAGGTATCGTTATATCTCTAAGTAGTCACCATATCAATTTATCGTACACGCTAAGGGTGTAAAGTACAAACGATGCAAAACAAGTGACATTGATCGCATTCAAAACGTGATGTTAATCCCAGTCCCATATTGAAGGCAGAAAGCCTGCGAGTGATACTAATCTGTTTGATTAAAAACAACCACAGGCAGGAGTGTTATTATTTTCGGGAATATTTTTATGTTTAGTGCTAGTTTCTGCACTAACAATGAAACATAAAATGGAATTTTTGCACATAAATCAACAAAACCTTTTGGTACTGCTGGATTCAAATATGCGTCTTCTGGTAACGGAATCAGACGCTTTACCAAGGGGCCATGAATTCATGGCGCGAAAATCTCGACATTTTTAAATGTAAGTATGTACGTTCGTACCGCATTTTGGCAATGCTTGGCGCCATCTACTGTACATACTTTACAATATGAAACACCTTACCTTATAAATTAAATAATATTTAACGATGGACAATTGAAACAAGACGACGATTTCACCTTTCATCTTAAAATTATAAGAATAATTTTCATTTTTAGTTCTAGTCTCTATTTTCAAGAAGAAACTTAAAATGTGATTTTTGTATATAAATAAACAAAAACTTTTGTACATCTCTCAAATAATATAATTTAAGTTAAACGTAGTAAAACATTTACGCCCAATTTCTCAAACAATGATCATCGTAGAAGTTCAAATAATATAATTAATTAATATTATTTGAGTTGCCAAAAGGATCGTTAAACTCTATGAATTGATCAGGATAATCTTAATGATCATAATGATCAATTCAAAGAGTTTATCAAAGCTCTGGAAAAAATTGTAAATGTATCTTTTTAATGAATTATACTGGATTCAATTTACGTTATCAATTCGTTTTGGTGGTATTCTTGTAAGAATAATTTCTAGTGTCGCTCTACCTGCCTTCCTTACTTCTGAGCACAGCGTAAATAATTTATGTAATAATAGGTACCCTAATTCAGAATAATCACGATTCGGACCTTTCTTATGCCGTAGAAACAAAGAATTCTTGGCTGCGTTTCCTAATGTGTTGTCTGTGTAGCTGCTCCAGCGAAAATTTTCCACTAGAAGTAAAGTAACAAAAACAGATACATATTTTTTTGGTGCTTAGACTACAAGAGCTATGGTTTAATCTTCAGATGATAATGATTTAGAGCGTGCACGTTATCAAGGCATCTCAATATGGTGACAATGTAGATAAATATTGTCTCCACGGGATTTCTTGTCAAATAAGTGCCTCTTTTCCCCCCACGGTTACCTGAACTACGTCATCCCTAGGACTCTTTATTTCCATAAACGTTCCTTCCTTTTAGAGCCCTATATGGAGCCCTGTTGCGTTTACGCGTGGTACAGAAATGGCGAATTATTTTCAAAGGACATGTGTAAAATTGGTTTTCTTCCCTGTCGACAAAAACGTCTCACATATTCACAATCCAATAGTGGTTTTATAACTGATCCAATATTTTATAACTTCTCCAAAAAAACTAATACGTATTTTTAAAACAATTATTTACTATGTATAAAAGCTAAACATTTTAACGAACAATAATCTGCGTTAAATACAATGGCTGGCAAATTCGCAGTCGGATTGAAGTTTTATACATCAGTCATCTCAACGTCTTCTATGTTCAGATCGTCCAACATCTCAGCAAGCGTGATACGTGGCAATGACGGATCGATTTCATCGGTGTCCACTGGTATTTTTTCTGCGTCTTTGAATATATTAATGTTCTGTCTGAACGTAGGGTCCTCTTCCAAGTCGTCTAAGAATTCGTTGTAGTCCCTGAAATAAAAAAAAACAATTTCAGATTGAATTTAAAATGTAAGCAAGCACTCTTACGCCTAGTAACGTTATATTTATAAAAACGTCATCAGGCATGTTATCAGGATATCAAAAAACAACTAATTGATAGTGTCGATGGACTTAAAAGAAAGAAAACTTTTTCGTGTTAATTTCTAGCTCGCCGCCTAATCTTATACTATCAAACTGCCCGAGGATTTTAATTAATACAGGGCATCGATCTTCAGAATCGCGAAAAGGTTTATCTTGTTTCGTTAATTACCTCAAGTAATACCTCAAGTACTAATTACCATATCAATATCTTGGGCACGCTTAGCGTGTTAATCACGCAGGCAGTCGTTAATCACAAACGATGCAAAACACGTGACTTTGATTGCCTCCAAATCGCGATGTCATTCCCAGTTCGCATTCGCGCGCGCGAACAGTTACATTAATGTCTTTTCACATTATCTAATTTAACTGTACTACGTGTCAGCAACCGTCTATCCATTTGTATTTGTAGTTTGATTGGGAGCGGTTGGGTACTAAGTCTCAACGACCACTGCCACCTAGAAGATCTTACTTCAGGATTACGTTATCCTGTTCTGTAAGGACGTTTTACGCTTATAAATTTCACGTGGACAAATATCCAGATCCGAAAGAATTATCTACTGGTCACATAAATAGTTCGCTCCGTGTTCAACACGGCCCGTCGAAGCTAATACAACATTACCAAACAATCCGTACAAAAAGCTTAAGAGTATGAACGAAAGTTTTTTAACAAAACATTAGTTTTAACAGCTTATTCTTTTTATTATTACTAAGAGATCTTTCTGGGCGTAGACACAAAAGTGTGTATATTGGAACTACGATATTTTCGCGTCTCGTCTGGTTAGTGAGATAACCGGGAGCTCGCTTCTTTAAAAATTGGCCACGGGTCGGCAGCTCAGGTGTTGTGTTGACCATGGGCGGCGGTAAAAAAGAAAGCAAACCGCATATACGCTTGCTAACTTTTCGCATTAAAAAAAAACTTCAATTTTAATGCCCCTTGACCCTGGTGTAGAATAACGTTACGCTGTCTTATAGGACGCTTCAAACATATATAAATTAAAATAACAAGTATAATTGCGGTTGACATACACCCAGTACTGAACGCATCATCCGTGTGTCACACAAACAGCTGCCCGCGGTCCAAAACCTTGGCAACTGTGCTACGGAATCTATTGTTTAAAGTTCTTTTTGTAACGAAAAACAAAACCGAATTCAAATCTCGCTCTGTATTCATTTTACAATTGATTTTCAGGTGTTACCTAAGTATCTCCGGAGCGCAAGATCCAATACCGATGAAATTAATATGGCACCACATTGGAAGCATCAGTTTTCATATAAATAAGGATCATCAATCAAGATCAGTACACCCAGCCGAAGGTTATGAGGTAACAAACACAAAAAAATACAGTCGAATCGAGGAGCTCCTCCTATTTGAAGTCGGTTGAGAAGGTACACTCACTCGTTACTGGAACCGAGCCCCTCGTGCAATTCCTCCGCCATGTGCTTGAGCTTCCAGTTGCGCGCGCGCCTCCTCGCCGCCCGCTCGCCGTAATACTTCTTCACCAGGAACACGTCCGGTATAGTGTCCCGGTCCAGCTTGTCGAAGTTTGCGTCGTTCACGTTCGTGTCGCACAGGTTGTATCTGTCCGAATGGTGTGGCTTCAGGGCGGGAGTGAACATATTTTTACTGAGACAGCGCGTTTAGCATCTGGCCGCACGGCAGGTCGGTTTCCGGGGCGGCGGATGTGGGACTAACTGGTGAAGGGTTGAGAGGTGGTGCCGTATTCATTGCAGCGACACGGCACCATTTGGCCGGACCGGGTGTGGTAGGATAGGGCCATGCAGCAGCCTCGGCTGTTGCACGAATGAGCAGGCTCGTTCGGGTAAGTACCGCGACCTCACAGAAAACCGGCGTAAAGTGGATGTATGACAAACACTCTTGCGTTTAGTCTGGTGAGAGATAGCCGGAGCCCAGTTTTCAAAAGGTTGTCAACGCATCTGTAACCCTAGGGTGTAGCAGATGACCATGGGCGGCGGTATTCACTTAACACCAAAAAAACAGGCAGACTCCGAACATTAAAAAAAAAGAACTTGTTAAAAATAAATGCGGGAAATTTCTAGACGTTTCCCCACAAACATCACAGTCTGTGACCTCGTCGCAAAGGATGAGATAGACCGCGTGGAATAGTGTAAGAGGTTGTGCGATTCCAGCATCCTAAAATAATATTAATTCATGTTCGTGTAAACTTTGTGCGGCTCTGAAGTTCGCTCTCCACAATGCACAGTTTTTACATTATCACACTGCAAAGGCTCTCTCGCTTTTAGTCTTATTGTTATTACACCTTGTAGTACACAGTTGAGTACAACATTGTTTTGCGAATATAGTTTTTAATAATGATAGATATTGAATATTTTTTTGCATTTGAACATGCATTGCCTGAACTCTCAGAGCAAGTCGCTCCGGTGCATTTAGACTTTGAGCAACCTCTTTGCATAATGTTCGTAATAGTTGAATACTCTTGCTTTTTTTAAAGTTTAACTTAATAAACAATTTTAAACATTTATTATAAAAGCTGCTACTCAGTTTTTGTTTATATTTAAAAAGATTAATAAATAAATCTCTCAGATTCTATCTGCTCTCTAAACCATCAAAAGAGATATTGTCTACTATACCCCAAGACAGTGTCGCCAGGTTTCAAAATGTGACCCATATGTGTCCTTGTATGTATGGGATTTACATCAAGTCCGAGTTCACTGGACTTTACCACCCACACATCAGCAATCACATGCTTGTTCGACAGCACACCTTGGCCGGGGAATGTTTTCTTTTCCTATAACATTAAACATTGTGATGTTAGAATAAAAAAAGAACATTCATTAATTTAACATGTCATTAACATACTTATACCATATACGTTAAACCTATTGGGATTGAACATGTGGGGGAAAAATATATTTTTGTAGTATTTCATTTAACCATAAATTTACAAAGTATATTCTTTACAGAATTAAATACACCATTTTATATGGAATAGATAGAAAGAAAAATGAAAATAATAAGGTCCATACAATGAAAATGCACTCAAATGTAGAGAGTGCGTCATTAAAATATACATATACTAAAGAATACTATTTAAAAAAATCTTTTATTAATAAAAGAATACTTACATGTTCCTTTAAAATATCAATATCCATAACTATGTACTCAACTAATTGTTTTGGATTGCAGATAGGAGTGAAAGGATGTCTCCAATACACAGTAGACGAAAGATCACATACTAAAAAATATATAGAGTATAAAAGTTATTTTAGTTTAGTATCATTCCATTATTCTTATTCAGCTGTAAAAGTATTAAAACTTGATGTAAATATTTTTTTTAAACTTGATTACTGTTAATTTTCTTATTAATATGTAAACAAAGCTACAGCATAATAAGTACGTAGCAGATGCACATTATACACAAAATAAATTCCGGGGCGGTTCTCACTGCTCCCAGCCACCGATTAGCTAATTGCACAGTCGACGGCCATCGGGGTCCGAACCGCGACGTCGATGGCCCTTAGATGACACACCATAGTTAAACGCATGCATGAGCACATGCGCGGCCTTACCCACAGCGGAGGGCCCAAACCCGTGGGTTCTGGCTAGCCCACCGGTTCTGCGTTAGGTGAAGCTTTAATAGTCTCAGGACTAAAAGCAAAAACATCAGTTAAAACAAGATACAAGACACAAAATAAATATTAAGAATATTGTATTTATTTTTTTTTATATGTATTTACTTGCCAGATTGGAATAAGCACACTGCATGTCATAAATAAATTAAGCTACTCACCTTGAGCTGTATTTGGATCTATTAAGTGAATTGTACTAGTCACTCTCAGGACTAGGCATATAGGTGATATTGAACCCAATTGGTGAGTTAACTTTTTTGGAAGGCAGACCACACTATCTTTAGACACCGGAACAATTTCAATGCTGTATGTAAACTTGTAATTGTAAATATTGCTGTGAATGTCATGAGATATCAACTTTTTAGAGTGTTGACATTTTATTGGGAGTACAGATTGTACAAAGTCAACCATTTTACGAGCATTATTTTCAGTTGCATAGAAAAAATCCAAGCCATCTGTAAATAAAAAAAATAAGAAGCTGGTAGGTTGAAACTCAGTAGATTTTTATCAATTTCTTAGTTTTAATTAGAGCTTACCATGCTTAGGTTTTATACCCAATGTGTTTTCATGTGCCTTGTGTTTCAGGATCAATTGTTCCAGATAATAGAATGTTTTTCTATTGTTGGTACGCTGTCTAACTTGTACAAGAGCACGCCAGTAATCCTGAGCTTCTGATCGGTGGCAGGCATCACACATTTGATGTTGAATTACAAACTCAACTATAAAAGTTTGTTGAAGCACCGCTCCTCCCATTACTTCACCCTGTACTGTTAATTTAACCTAAAATAGTAATGAGATAAAATATAAACCATATAATCTCATAATTTTCAATCAATAAATAATGCAATTGATGTTATAAATAAAATACAATTTGTGAGAAGACAATATTTTCTTAAACATTAAATTATGTATGGTGTACATCACACATCATACTGGAGCATTAGCATTGTATTAAATAGTAGTTTATGTAAAATGACATCACAATCAATGTCTGTGGAGTTTAGAAAAAAAAATATTTTGCTTGAACTTAAAAATAAATTGTGATTAAGTTAATTTTTAAAATATGTATAATAGGTTGTAGTTCAATAATGCGCTTTTGATGTGATATCTTTTAAGCAATAATTTTTGAACAATAATAATAAGTGAATGGATTGTTACTTTTATTCTCTTGGAGTGAGGCTCGGTCCAAGCAAATCCAGCATCAATCAATTTGACTCTGTTTAGACCCTTTAACCTTTTTAAGCAAAGCGCCAGTAATTCCCGAGACTCCAGGGCACACACTAACCACTCTGCCGGAGGCTGTAGATATCTTTTAAAACAATTTAAAAGTTATTTTTTTACAAACTTTTCTAAATAAGTAGAGGTAAAAGTATTTTACAATTATACACATCAAAAAATAAAGGCCATACTAATATTTAGGCTTGAATGCACCAAAAATATTCTTGAAAAATCTTGTTATTTATTGGAATTTATCCAAAAAGCTATTTTGATTTCGAAATATGATCAATATATTAATAAGTTTTACCTTTCACATCCCCTGCAAAAAAACAAAGTTGCTTGTTTCGGAATACCATCTGTGATGTCAACATGAGCTCGCAAACATGCTACACACATATTAGATGGATTAGCCTCTATAGGTGTAGCACACTGGCAGCATAGTCTAAAAGAGAGGACAGATCGTACAAATAAATGTAATTATATATTTATATAATTTTTATGTAATTTAAAATCATAACCTTCAAAATGTATTATAATACTCACATGCGTGTGCTGTTTGGTGTTGGATTAGTTTCAGGGGAAATGTACTCCATAGTTAAATTAAGTACACCATCAATTCCTACTCAGTTTCAATATATTATAGTTTTTACTTTTGAAAATGGTTTACTGGAAATTATTTCAACACTTCGGCAACAAAACACGTTTTTGAAAAAGCCATCAACTCGCTTGACATTGACAGTAGATTTTGACACTTCGCGTTGTCATTTGTCAAGGAACCTTCCGATTCTGCTTGTCAAAGTGTTGATGTAAACCATTGATATAAGAATATAAGAGGATATGCCCTTTATTGCATATACAATTTCTCGTTATACAAATATGATGCAAATATACACCTCAATTACAAAAACATCTCTCTCACTCTAACGCGTAATAATTTACAAATGTAAATAAAGTACAGCATATGTCAGGAATTTCAAATTTTTGTTTTAATTTTCCGTTACGTCACTAAGCCCCGCCTTGAAGCACATTTTATGGCATGCCGCCATTTTAGGTCTACACTTTTATAAGTACTTCGACTGTAATTGCTGTTCGAAAATTATTTTCATTTTAATAGTGAATTGTGTGTGTTCTGGTAATTTCTGAAGTGTTTGTAAAGATAAGTGGAAAAAAATTTAACATGGGAAAGTGTTGCATCACAGGATGTTATTCGAATGCTGGAAAAAACAACGAAGGATTGACATTTTTAGGTTAGTTCCAGTTTTTGTATTTTTTTGTACTTTTTCGTATGTGATACTACTTGTGTCTATAACAGAAATTGTACATATAGTGTTATCGCTTATTTTTTATTCTTCTAACTACTACTAACAAGTAAAATAGTCAATAAGTAAATATTTGCAATGTTTACATGAAAACGTAGTGTTGTTCATAGCATGGTTGTTTGAAAATTTTATCGATACTTTATTTTTTGGCTCCACTTGTCAAAGTATCAAGTTCGCTACCACGAAGTATTGATAGTCAGATTAAAATGAAATCATTCAGGGACATCGAAAATGTGAAGTATAATTGTGTTTTTGATAATAAGTCTTCTGTAATGTATTAAATTAATATTTAATTTTTTTAGATTTCCGAAAAATGAGGTTCTCCGCAAATTACGGATGGAAAACATAGGCACTGAAAATATAAAACCTGCAAGAGTCCTCAAAATATGCTCCAAACATTTTGAGGCAATTTGAGTAAATAGAACATTGGGTGTGGTCACAGAACACTAATACTCTCATGGTTTTATGATGTAATATTACACCACTCACAAATTTATAATTTACTTTAATGTTATCTCACAGCACATAATGGAATTATTCTTTACTAATTATTTATTAATTATTCTCTCTTATATTTTAAGTTGCAATTAAGTTTTGAGAAGTGAGAGAAATTTGACTTGATCTGGTGAATCCGTTCTTACTAAATGCTTTTTGATTTATTATTATTATGGGGATATTTCATTTGTTTATATATATATATATATATATATATATATGAAATTATATATATATATATATATATATATATAAATAGCATGGCATCCATAAAATAAAATTATTATTTTTAATGTATAATTTTAATAATTTGCAGTATGTACCAATGGATATTGACAAATATGGACATAGATACGACAAACAGACTCAAACAAAAGACGACAAATTCAGGTGAAAACTCTTATGGTGAGTATTTCTTCTAACTTCTATTTAAACAATAGCATCATCGTCTTTAACTAGTATCCTACTTATTAAAGGCTGGCACAATAAGTTAATTTCAGGATATATTTTGATGACATTTAATAGCATCAACCCTATATATGTTCGACTGCAGAGCATGAATCTCCCCTGTTAATTATCTCCCTAACCTAAAAATGTTTATTGTAATTTCACGTTACTTTTTAGGCTATGGTAGTTAATGAAACCAAAAAAGTCCAAAAGTTATGCAGACCAGTGAAGTTACAGCAAAGGAAAATAAAGATGACTCAGTCAGAAGTGCCGCAAACTGAAGCAGAAGGTGTTCACTTTCCAAACCACTATTGGCGATTTGAAGAAACATAATTTAGTTCATTTAGTTAATTAATTTAGTCAATTACTTAATTTAGTTTTATGGAAAAAAAACACTCAGAAAATATATCAAAGCGCAACATTTTAACAAAATTAATATTATTCCGCCATGAATAAACGATTTTAATCAATATACTAATTGTCTTTTTTTTATTTTATTTAACTATTTATGACAATAACCTATTTTATGTTACAATGCTGATAGCAAATACCACTTTTAGTTTACATTACCCTTACATTAGGTTAACATTATTTTTTTTAGTTTTTACCCCCTACCCTTCAACTAGTGGTGACAAATGAGAATTAATAGAAAGGTGTGCAAAGTAATAACATTTTTGCGTGTCATCGATATCAATATGGGTATAAATATATGGATATCAATATGGACTTAATAAAACAACACTATGTGCTGTGGGCGGAGTCGACGCCATTTTAGAGAAACATTTGGCTTCAGCACACGTGACCTAACGTGACATCCTCTTATATTCTTTTATCAATGATGTAAACACGTAATTGAGTGATCTTATATCTGAATCCAACTTTTTTGTGTTGAAATCCTGAATTTATCTGTTTTGTGAGAGTTTGGTGGAGGTTTTTGTGTGAATTGGCAAGTGTATTAACATTTAGACCCGCCTTTTCTTCTTTAAGAAAGAACATGGATGAAGTCAAGCCTCTGGATGGAGGTGGCGGTCTTCCTTCTGATATTTCGTTGGATAGCTCGTCCTCATCCACATCTACAGTTTCTAATTCCAACTTTTCAATAACTAATGTACATCGCAAGCGCCCGGCTGAAAACGTTGAGATGCTGGAAAGGAAAAAAACTGTCCCGCCCTCTACGTCGTACCATATCTACTTTTTCTAAAAAGGGTTATGAACTAGACTCAATACTATTATACACTGACATGAACCAGGGTCCCTTTATCGTTCATATAACTAGATCTGTTCCCGATTTATCCTCTGGTCAGTCTATTAGAGTATTGAAATTTGCTCAATTTTTACACAAATCAAAAGTATCTGGTATTGCACAGGGTGGTATAAAAGCATTTGGAAGAAATAGAATATCAGTTGAATTTAAAACTAATTTGTCAGCTAATAACTTCATGTCTCATGACTGTCTGTCTACAAATAATTTTAAAGCAGTTATCCCTAGATTTAACATTACCCGCATGGGTGTTGTTAGAAGCATTCCTACTGATTGGACATTAGAAGAGTTAATTGAAAATATTAAAACTCCCTCCAATTGTGGGGAAGTTATTAGAACTCGTACAATACTAAAATCCGAGTAGATGATAAAGTCACATGGGTCCCTTCAACTACCGTAGTTCTCACCTTTTCGGGCCAATCTCTTCCAAAGAGAGTATTTTGTTTCCACTCTGCTCTTCCAGTCTCCACTTATCAACTGCCAACAATTCAATGTAGGAATTGTTATAGATTTGGCCACATTTTATCACAGTGCCGATCTCAGCCCAGATGTTACCGTTGCGGACAGGGACATACTGGGGATAGCTGTCATGATTCTAATAATGAAGTTTGTGTTTTGTGTAGTGGTAATCATAGAGCTACTGATGACAAATGCCCAGAACATGCGAGGCAAAAGTCTATTAAAATGATCATGTATCAGGAAAATATTAGCTATTCTGAAGCAGCTCTTCGATTTCCCCTCGCAAAAAGATCCTACACGGATGTGGTCAATTCCACCCCTCCTTCCATTTTACATCCTACCAAAATTCCACAATCCCATCCTATCCCCCTTTCCTCTTCTTCAACTATTTCATCTAATATTCAGGCATCTTATTCCAAAACTATTTTCAAATCTCCTCGTCCCAAAGCTCCTCTCGGTAAATCCTATGACGTTCTATCTCATAGAAATATAATTAGTTCTCCCCCATCTACTCAACCTAATGGTTGTGCTATATCATCTTCAGAGTCTACCCCTTTGCTTACCCCCAATGATAATCTCATTGAACTTCTCATCTGCTCCCTTATAAATATGATTTCAAAGTTCTCAGATTCCCTACCGAACAATGTCGTTACTATTCTACAACAATTTCTCGATACTTTAATTTCTAAAAATGGCGACTATAATTCAATGGAATTGTAGAAGTGCTCGCCATAAGAAATCAGAACTCATTTATGTAATTAAATCGCTTCAAACCCGTGGTCCTCGCCATCTCGGTGACATGGTTAAAACCGGGGTCTGTTTTCAGGCTGTCGGGGATTGATATTTTCGCGATGACAGGGATGACGGGAAAGCAGGTTGTGCCCTTCTTGTGTCAAGATCCATCTGCTTCTCCCAGATCCTTATCCCTTCCCATAGCTGTAATTTGCACATAGTGGCGATTAAAGCTAAAAATATTACATTCATATCTACATCACTCATCCCAATAGCTCCGTGGTTTCTGAACTAAACTACATTCTCTCTTCTATTTCTGGTCCCCTCATAGTTTCTGGCGACTTTAACTGTCACCACCCTACGTGGGGCGGCTCAAACCATTCAGATTCTTCCTCTTCTTTCTTCCTTGACCTGTTAGATGATAACAATTTGTGCATTCTAAATGGTGGATCTGCAACTCGAAGGACCCCTCCTGGTCAAAATGTGAATGCTCCTGATTTAACTCTTTCATCCCCCTGTCTAATAAACTCTATCTCTTGGACAGTACTTCATAACTCATATGGCAGTGATCATTTTCCTATATTAATAAGACTCCTACAATTTTCACCTCCCACTCCTAAGATTCCACCTTTGCAACGTTTTAGACTCTAAGACGCTGACTAGGATAAGTAATCTGAAACTTTAGACCCCAAAATTAGCCTCCTTCCTCCTGCCAATCCTGATAACTGCCTATCTTTATATAATGATTATGTCGCTTGTATCATTACAGCAGCAGAAGATTCCATACCCCTCAAAAACGCTTCCTGTGGTCGTATTCCCTCTCCCCCATGGTGGGATTCGGAGTGTTCTACTTCCGTTCGACTTAGAAATCAAGCTGAGA